TATCAAATGCAAGGATTATTATTATTATGCAGGGGAGAACAGCTTAATTGAATGCATGGGGAAATAATTTTATTTGGAGTAGAGACGACAGCAAGGAACAAATTCGAAATCCTGACTTGTTCCAGTGTCTGAGAGACTGACTTCAGTCATGCAAAAGCAGAGAGTTGCTAGTTAGGACTCCGATTAAGCTCTGGCTTCTTCACTTTCATTGCAGGGAGACTTGGAATCGAGCCAGTCTGGAATAGAGAATTTTTTTTACGTACTTTTTTTATAAGCAGTTTGGAATTGGTCCACATTCAGTGGGAGGCCATTTGCTTATCCATCTAATACTCGGTTTTCAAAGGGGAAGTCTTGGCAACCTTTCCAAAGGTGCCTACTGCTATGGTAACTTTATTACTGTGTCTTACTAGTAAAAAATGGACTTTTGTGAGCTTAACTTTAATAAAGTTTTGCAAGAACTGAATCTCCAGTGAGGAAATGGAAACACAACACTTGGATTTTAATACAAGTGTTTTAATTGATACTTCACAAAGCTGTCTCACACAGCACATTGAATGCATTCACAACATCCTCGGCTGATGACATGTCATGAAGTCTTTAAGACCTGGGTCACACTGCCATTTCTTGTCTACATCGGACCTTTATGACTGAGGTTTTTATCTGTTGGGCCAATTTTCTCCCTGAGAATATTTGACTGGCTGTGTGTGGTTCCCCAGGTGCTATACTTGATGGCCATTCTCATTGTGTGCAGTCCGGCGTGGAGGGCGCTATATAAATCCAAGTTGTTGTTGTTGTGTGAGCCGGCACTGAGTATCAGCAGGTGATTCAACTGAGGGTCATCAGTGTTGGCCCGGCTCAGATGGTAACACTTTTGTCTCTGAGTCACTTCATGGGATGTTGTTGTGTACAAATTGGGTGGTTTCAGCAGCGATGGAATCCTGTAGCATACAACAACAACAACTTGGATTATATAGCACCCTCCACGCCGGACAGAGTCTCAGAGCGCTTCACGGTAACGGATCCCGGGGCTGAGCCAGGGGGAGGCAACAGGCACTGTTTTGAGGAGAGAGGTCAGAGAAGTAGGGTGCAGAGGAGTGGAGAGATTTGAAGACAAGGGTGAGGATCTAGGATATTGGTCAGAGTGCTCACCTCACAAGTGAAAGGACTTGGGACTTGATTCCTGGGCAGGGCAAAATCTTAAGCAAGTTTCCATACTTCACACTCCTCTGTTTACTGAGCAGTAAGTAGGAACCTGGTTAATAGTCGATCGGCGGATTAATTTCCGGTGTTAATAATCCATTCGTGGGTGTGTGGCTAGATAGGTAGGTAGGTAGGTAGGTGACCTAATCCACACCAGTTTGTGGGACACTGCTGTGCATAATTGGCTGCCCCTTATCGCCAACAATCCACTTTACAGTATACCCTGTGAAATGCTTTGCAATGTCTCAACGACGTGATATATCAAAAGCAAGGATTATTATTATTATACTGTTGCAACACGCCGAATGTGGTTCCCCAAGCCTTGTCTCTTACCCATCTGCACCAAATACATTTTGGGATTAGGTAAGAAGGAAACTTGGCACTCCACTCCATTTCCAAAGTGAAATCTGCAGTGCATGTGCGGAACTCTTTGTGGTTTTGTTTGGATACTCTTAAGGCATGGTAATGGATTTCCACCTACAAGTACAGTCACAATACTGTAAAGTGCTTTGAGTCATTTTGGTGGTGTGATAAAGCAATATTGCAAATGCAAGGATTATTATTTTCATCTGTGAGCCTGGGCAATGAGTGACTGTAGGTGGCATCACAGCCAAGCCCTGTACTCTCCTCACCCAATGTCCACACTTGTCCACTTACCAATGTAGGGGAGATCTCTTTATACATAAGAACGTTATAAACTTAAACATTAGACATAGACATTAGAACAAAGAGGCCTGGCAGATTTTTCCCAACCCAGGAGTGTAGAGCTCCAATTGCTGCCTTAGCTGGCATCAGCTAACTCAGCACATAGTGGGATTTGAGTCTGTGACCTGTAGGTCCTTGGGACGCCATGGGACGTCCTCCCGACGTGAAAGGCGCTCTATGAATGTAATTGTGTTTTGTCCTAATGCTGCACCGAGCAATGCTTTTATCTCCTTGGCCATCATTTTGAAACTGAATTTTGATTAATTCTTGAATTCCCTGACTCCTGCAGTCGCCTCAGGCACAAGCAACCTGTCTCATCCCAGTGACCATTCTTCAAGGGGGAGTTCACAGTGTAAAGAAGGATTTGACAATGGAGGGCATCAGTTAAAATCAGGATCACGAACCTGACGTATATATATATATATAAAATAGGGACGAAACCTTAGGCAAGTTTCCTTACTTCACATGCCTCCGTTTACCTAGCAGTAAGGAAGAACCCACTCATTTGTTGATTGGCAGATTGCTTTCTGGGGTTAATAATCCCTCAAAAAAAATTGGTCACTCAATCCAAGACGGTTTGTGGGACACTGCTGTACATAATTGGCTGCCCTGTTTTCCTCACAAAATACAGTCGATCCACTTCATAATATATTCTGTGAAGCGCTTTGAGATGTCTCAACGATGTGACAGCTTTATCAAATGCAAGGATTAATTCTTCCGTGGAGTCCTGTAGCTCAGTGGTTAGAGCACTCGCTTTGCAAGTGAGAGACCTGAGTTCAATTCCAGGCAGGTCAGGGCAAAACCTTGGACAAGTTTCCTTACTCCACACAGAGCCTAATAATAATCCCTCCAAAAAAGCAAAAAACAATAATAAATTGGTCATTTTCAATCTACGACTGTTTGTGGGACATTGCTGTGCGCAATTGGCTGCCGCGTTCGCCCACAAATATGCAGTCAATTCACTTTACAGTGTGTTCTGTGAAGCGCTTTGGGACGTCCTCCCGACGTGAAAAGCGCTATATCAAATGCAAGGATTATTATTATTATTAAGGATTTTTATTATTATTATCTGTGAGCTTTGGTGCTGCAAACTCCCAATTGCAATTATGCAGTGAGACAAAGGCTTGAGTTGGCACATTCTTTAACCACTTTAGGCATCGTAATTGTAATATGCTGCTCTCCAATTAACCCAGCATTATTTTTATTTTTGGGGTTTGCCCTCATTTTACATCAAGTTCTATGGATGTAAAGTTTTGAAACAGTCACCGTGTTTCATTTCAAAAGTTGTGGGTTCAAGCTCCACTTTGTGACATAGTTTGAGCTGTTTGGGGGACGTTTTTGAAGGTTTTGAGACTTTGGCGTGATAAAACACTACATCAAATGTGTCAAAAGGCACCTCCTGCCTCACTCTTCTTCAGAATGGAACTAGGGATGGTTCTGAGCTTTGGTTCCAGTTTTAGTTGCCTCCTTTATTCCCTTCTTCCCCCCACCACCCCATCCCAACTCTCTCCCCCACCCATCCCAACTCTCTCCCCCACCCATCCCAACTCTCTCCCCCACCCATCCCAACTCTCTCCCCCACCCATCCCAACTCTCTTCTGCCCCCCCCACCAACTCTCTTCCCCCCACCAACTCTCTTCCCCCCACCAACTCTCTTCCCCCACCAACTCTCTTCCCCCCACCAACTCTCTTCCCCCCACCAACTCTCTTCCCCGCCCCCCACCAACTCTCTTCCCCCCCCACTACCAACTCTCTTCCCCGCCCCCCACCAACTCTCTTCCCCGCCCCCCACCAACTCTCTTCCCCCCTCCCCACCAACTCTCTCCCCCACTCCCCACCAACTCTCTCCCCCCCCCACCAACTCTCTCCCCCGCCCCCCACCAACTCTCTTCCCCGCCCCCACCAACTCTCTTCCCCGCCCCCCACCAACTCTCTCCCCCGCCCCCACCAACTCTCTCCCCCCTCCCCACCAACTCTCTCCCCCCTCCCCACCAACTCTCTTCCCCGCCCCCCACCAACTCTCTTCCCCGCCCCCCACCAACTCTCTTCCCCGCCCCCCACCAACTCTCTTCCCCACTCCCCCGTACCAACTACTGTTTCCTCTCCTCACTTTTGACCTCCATCAAAAGAACCGTTGCTCCACCAGGTGGTGGTGGGTGGAGCAGAGAACTTTGGAAAATCACCCAGTCAGGGCAGGGACAATGAAAGGCAGTCCATATTGAGGACAGAGGTTGCCATTGACCTTTCTGTTTGGGATAGTCTGAGACTCTTGTATTGGGAGAGTGCAGGTGGGGCAGAATTTAACAGCTTTAAATTTTTTTTAAGAAAACTGATATTTTGGGTATTAATAATAATACTTGCATTTGATATAGTTCCTTATCACATCGTTGATGCGCCTCGAAGCGCTTCACAGGATATACTGTAAAGTGTACTGGTTGTAAAACATAAGGAAAATGTACTGGTCTTGGGGGGAGAGAGGAGGAAAGGGGAGGATGGATCAATGCAAAAGAACACACACAACATGTGGCTTTCATTTCTGGCAGCTTTTGAATGACGGGTTGTCTCCAAAGAAAGGGGGGGGAAAAAAAAGAGAGGCTCCTGTCTTTTCCCCTTAAAGTCTAGCATTAAATGGGAGAGGTTTCCTCAATTAACCTGCAGCAAAGCTTCAGGCACTACACTGCTGCGAGGTGGCTGTTTTTTGGTCCCAGCCCTTGTGTTTCCAGCCAGTGTTGTGGATCAGTAACATTGCAACTGCTCGTTCAGGTCCAATGCTTCCCCCCTGACTCCCAGTCCTTGTCGTTTAGAACAGAGTTCAAAAAGAATTTGCAGCAAGCAAGCAACCACACACACACAGACACACACACTCTCTCTCACACACACACACACACACACAAAGCCAGCTCAGAGCCTGGGAGAAGAAAGAATGGGTGGCTTTTCCTTTCCTGCACTGCTGCTGTTGGTCTAACTTGTCAATCAGGGTTAATGGAGCGATCTGCTCCCATAGTTTGCATTCACAGGTTGTAAAGTCATTAATTACTCTCCATCCAGGTTTCATCAAGCTCACTCCTTGATGTGTTTCTCATGCAGCTCTGCTGGAGAATGGCTGCCATGGACTGGGAACTGAGCAGGTCTGCTGTCCTCTTCACCTATTCTGTGCTTTTCTTCCTGTGGACAGTGCAGAGGGCAGAAACTCTCAGCTATCTGGTAAGTTTAGCTCTCCTCGTGGCCCTGAGAGCTTCTCCTATCTTTTCTTTCTTAGTGCAGCAATCCCATTTCCCCCTGCAGCCAGCACACACACACACACACACACACACAAGACAGAAAATTAAGTCTCAAAAGAAAGAGACCAATAGAAGTTTGGAGTGAGACTGTGGTCTGGTGTGGTGAGCAAATATTTATTTTCTGAAGTTAGATTTTTTTTAAAAAAACTAAAAGTGTTTAAATCTCTGATGAAATGTCTTTCCCTTGCTCTTGTGGGTGGGAAGAAGCAAAACCCATTGATAAATTTTAAGGCATTGGCTTTATTTACGTTTGCCAGGACTTGGTTAACGTTTTGGAAGATGTGATCCATGAACTTTTAGTTTAATTTTTTTTTGAAACTTCAGACTGTGTATGTTGTCCACTTTTAACAGAGAGAGAGAGAGAGAGTGTAATGTGTAATGTGTCTGTGTGTGCTTTGGATTTTAACAGCAGCCCCTCACTGCTTTGGTTAAACGGAGGCACTGGCTCTAAATTACTTTCATACACTCAAGAAAGTGCATTTCCTCTTTTATTAACCCTGTTGCTTCGGCAAGAATGCACCAAGGCAGAAACATCAGTCAACATTGTGTGTGTCTAAATTATGTTAAAAACCTGCACTCAGTCAGTGCTTCACATCTTGAGAAACTGAGAAATCCACTTAAGTTGCGCTTGTACAGTAATTTCTGTGAGTTCCATGAGATATTGACACACTTTCAGTGTTTTGCACTTACTTTCTCTTTGAAATGTGTACCACAAGGGTATATGTTAAAGCCTGCACACACACACACACACACACACACGCACACACCAAGACCCAAACCCTTCACCATCAAATCCAGATTGGGATAAATCTCCCCCCCACACACACAACAACAACAAGATTCCATTTATAGAGCGCCTTTCACGTCGGGAGGACGTCCCAAGGTACTGGACAGCTGGGTCAGGACCCTAGCAGGGGGGAACTCTCTCTCTCTAAATAGAAATGGGCTCATGCTCTCAGTCTCTTTAATGCCGGCTACTCACACGTTGAGAGAGACGAACGTGTAGATGTGAGTGTTGGAAGTACTGTACTGTGCGACCTTCTGCTTGTCTAGACGTGGAGAGGCATGTTAATGTTGCCTTCAACACAAAGCCTTTCATCTGGCCCTCATTTGGGGGCTGTGCTCAAATGCTCGCACACGTCACGACCATTTGTTTGGTCTTTGCTTTTCTTTGTAGCTGTTAAGCCCCAGGGAGAGAATATAACAATTACTGTCGGAGGAAGGGAAGGGGGTGGTGGGGGAGCAGTGGCGTGATTGATAAACTTGATTGCAGTGGCTATGCAAATGTTCTTTAACATGGGCTGTTAAAGCTACAGGATCCTGCAAACGTTTGCTTGTTGCATCACCCATTAAAAGGCGCTATTAACTGAAATTGCTACCTAAATACTCTTTGGAAAGCATGCTTGAAAGACTTACTGCAATACATTTTGTTTGTTCTATCCCAGCCTTCTTGTTGGTCGATTGACGGATCGTTTTTCCGGAGGTAATAATCCCTCTAAAAAACACTCAATCCACGACGGTTTGTGGGAAACTGCTGTATGCAATTGGCTGCTGCGTTTCGCCCACAAAATACAGCCAATCCACTTTACAATATATTCTGAAGCACTTCGAGACATCTCAATGACTTGATACGGCGCTATATCACATGCAAAGATTATTCTTATTGTTGTTGTTATTACTCGAGACAGAGCAAGCGAACAGCGTTCCTGTGGTGCTGTTGTGTTGGGCAGAATGGTGTGCGAGCAGCAGTTTTTTTTAAAAATAAATTAAAATGCGATTTCTGTGAAATGAGTGAATTACGCACTGAACTCACTAAACAGTTCAGGCTGACATTCCAGTGTGGTGGTGGGGGAACGTTGCATTGTCAGGGGTGCTACCCTTTGGATGAAACTTCAAACTGAGATGCAAGTTTAGCAGTTCAGCTGGTTGTTTAAAATATGTGTCCTCACCCACCCCAGGAGTCCCCAAGCTTTTCAGAAATACAAATAGAAGGTAGGATCACTTTGCAGCTGTTATCTGGGGATAATGCCTTATCCCAAAGTATTGCCCTCTCTGCTCGATGTATGTAAGTCAACAGGTTCATTGCATGGTTTTGAATCCACCTTTCTGATTTCCTTCTTCCCTGAGCTTTGGGAAGATGTCTGGCAAAGGCAGATATTCCAAGGCACTGTTAATAGCTGAGCTATTTTCGTTGCCTCATCAGTGAGACTTGGCGCTATATCACTGCAATGATCTTAACACTGCAAACTGAAGTCCTCATGTCTGGGATGAGAGAGTGTGTCTGTGGGGGGGGAGGAGTTGGGTGTAATATTCCCACTTCTCATTCCCCTTGCCTCCCACTGACTCTTCTCCTCTATCATGTTTTTATTATCTCTTCCCCAGAGAACAAAAAAAGCCCTTTTTAACTTTGTCTTTGTTAGTGTAATGGACACGATCATCAAATTGCCATGTGTCTTGTGTTTATCTCATTCTAAACAGACACTGGGGGTTTATCGTATGCCAGTTGCCAAAGAGAGCAATTTAATTTTTGTTTGCCTCGACTTTACAATGGAAAATTTCACTGCAACTTGTGGTCTTTTTAATATGTCTTTGTAAATGGATTTCCCATTGTAAAGACAAACAAGAAGATTGTTTTTTAGTGATTGGCATATGATAAACTGCGCTTCAAGGAGATAGAACAGTTACATGGCATTTTTCTGATGAAGGGTTTTATCCAAAATGTTAATCTCTCTCTACCTGAAGACCAACCGTGCCTACGGTCACCTTCACCCTCCCCGCTGACATTGTGCTCCGCCACTGTCAAACTTTCTGGGAATTATATCCAGTGTGAGGGGTGCTATATAACGCAAGTTGTTGTCTCTCTCTTTCTCCCCTTTGGTCTTTCAAATGGCGATCAGCCGGCTGTTTGCTTCCAATGTTTTTATTACCAATTTCCAGCATCCTTTTGTCATTTTCACTGCGAGGGTATTATTCAAGTCGTCAGTGAGATTCTCCCTCCTGACAGTGGTGCGAGTCAAACACCAGGGGCGATCGGTTGGGGGGCGAGAAGGGAATTGCTGAACACTTTTCAGTAATGGCCATGTGCATCAACAGCTGGCCCGATCTCCCGTCATCCAATGTTTGTTCTCACCCCTCCCCCACCAGACAGTAAACCATACACATCCCAGGGATGAATAATAATAATGCTTGCATTTGATAGAGCGCTTTTCACGTCTTCTAGATGTCTCAAAGCCCTTCACAGAATATACTGTAAAGTGAATTGACTGTATAATTGTGGGCGAAACGCGGCAGCCAATTGCGCACAGCAGTGTCCCACAAACGGTCGTGGATTGAAAATGACAAACTTGTTTTTGTTTTGAAGGGATTATTATTAGGTGCGTGGAGTAAGGAAACTTGCCCAAGGTTTCGCCGTGCCTGGAATTGAACCCAGGTGTCTCGCTTGCAAGGCGAGTGCTCTAACCACTGAGCTACAGGACTCCACAAAAATTTATTGATGGGGATTAGGAACCGAACCTGGGTGTTTTTTTTCTGTTTTATTCCAGCACTCCTACCCCTCACCTGTAGCTCAGGGATATGGTCCAGTTATACCCTCTCTTCTTTCAAGGTACTTCTTGAGACAGACTGCAATTTGGTCACCTTTCCCCTCCCTAACTCTAGCCCCACCCTCCCCACCTCCCACACTCTGCTCAGATGCCCCACAAGACTATCAAGCGTCTTGGAATGTCCTCTTGACGTGAAAGGCGCTACAGTATAACTCACAAGTCTTATCAGTTGGGACCATAATATTCAATATGACTTGTGCAAAGTATGAATTATGGGAAACTTATGTAAGTCATATCATATACGACTTATGTAAAGTTATGTGTAAGTCAGATTTTATGACTAGGACATAATAAATACTGTATATAAATATAAATTTGTACTGTAACATCATTGCCCACATTAACGATAGCTAACTCAGCATTGACTGGAGATTAAACTTGGGACCCTCCAGGTATAACGTGTAGGTCAGTTACTTGCTGAGTCACTAGGGAAGTAATACATGGTATAATTATTAACTTTTCAAGTGGAATGCAAGTTTATCTGTCGAGTTCCAGGATCCTATGGACGTGCTCCATATGTTGCAGGCATGTATTAATGTTTGCATTAACGTTGACACAGGGCTGTGTAACTTCCACATATAAATGGATGACGCCCAAATCTATTTTTCCACTTCCACTCTTGATTCCAGGTCCACTGATGTTCTGTCTGCCTCTCAGACATCGAGGCCTGGGTGAGCCAAAAATTCCTGCAGATAAACATGGACAAGATTGAAGCCATCCTCCTCAACTTCTGCCAACAGCTTCTCACTTCTGGCTTTGACCTCCTCAATCTCCCTGGTCCCTCTCAAACTCACTGAACTAGTGCACGACCATAGCATCTGGTTTGATTCTCAGCTCTCCTTTCTCTTACTTTTGATGAAGACTGCTTTTCTTCACCTCTGCCACATCGCCCATCTCTGTTCCTACCTCACTCTAAATGATGCCTGTGTTACCTGCCGGGTTGACATTTCAAACTCGCTTCCCATAAACTTCAACTTATATAAAGCTCTGTCACCCGCATCCTCATTCACACCAAACTCTGCTTATCCATCACCCCAGTCCTTGCCAGCTCCACTGGCTCCATGTCTCTGAACAGGGATTTTAAGATCTTCACCCTCAGCTACAAATCCCTTCATGCCCAAGTATCTCTCTACCTCTTCAATCTTTGGTCCCACACCTCTGCCAGCATCTTCTGCTCAGCTAACTCAGGCTTGCTGCACATTTCTGTCTTATCTGTGCTGCCATTGGAAGCCAGGCTTTTAGATTCTGTATAAGTGCAAGTTGTTTTGTCTTGCAGAATCTATATAAGAAAATATGTCAATATGACTGGTCAACAACCCACTCAAAATAAAATTGGTCACTCACTACATGGCTGTTTGTGGGACATTGCTGTGCACAATTGACTGCTGTGTTTCGCCACAAAATATAGTCAGTCCACGTATATTCTGTGAAGCGCTTTGAAATGTCTCAATGATGTGATGAGGCACTATATCAAATGCAAGGATTTTATTATTGTTATAATTATTACTTGGAAAAAAGGTTTATTATTATTGGAATGCAGCTCTACTCTTCAGAGTTACCAGGGAGACAAATTGTCCACCTGGTGGATGATGGATGCAAATGGAATTTTTTTTGTTGTCTCTGTCAGGACAGTAATGAAGGCACAGAGAGTGACCAAAGCCGAGAGGAGGACGTGGCTCAATGGTGGGGTGAATGGAGCTCCTGGTCCACCTGCACACGAACCTGTGGAGGAGGGATCAAGACCCAGGAGCGTCACTGTTTACAGCAAAGGTAAGCACTTTCGAAGAATTATTTTACAGATCTTAATAAAGTGGAAGTCCTGTAGTGTAGTGGTTAGAGTGTTTGCTTCGGAAGTGAGAGGACCTGGGTTTGATTCCATTGGCAGATTTGGCTTCACCACACCAAGACCTACTGCTGCGCTCTTGCCTCCGCCAAATCCTCCTACTCCAAGGTTATCTTGGAGGCAAAGGACAACTCCTGGCTTCTCTTTTCCACCACTAACCGTCTCCTTCGTCCATCTTCCCACACCTCGCCCATCCTCTCCTCAAACTCCCAACTATGAGGAGATGCTGGACTTCCTCTAATCTAAAATCAAGGGGATATGTTCAGCCACCTCAGCCCCGTACACAGCCACCCCCAGATCACCTCTCCCTCATGACCCACCCCCCCACCCATTCCCCCATACTCCTTTGACCGTATCTCTCCCTCCTCCCTCACCACGACTGTCCGCAAACTCAAACCCACCACCCGCTCCCTCAATCCCATCCCTTGTCTCCCAGCTCCACCTTCTGGCCCCTCTCCTGTCCCATGTCATCAACCTCTCCTTGTCCACCGGTTCAGTTCCTACCCCACTAAAAATAGCCGTCATCACCCCCATCTTGAAAAAACCTTCCCTGGATCCATTCCTCCTCTCCAGCTACCGCTCCATTGCTAACCTCCCATTCCTCTCCAAGGTCCTGGAATGAGTCGTCACGTCCCAGCTCTGCTCCTCTCTCTGGCAGCATCAACCTCCATGGTTGCACACTACAACTCACCAAGCCAGTCAGGAACCTAGGTGTCTTGTTCGACCCTCAACTGTCTTTTCTCCCCCACATTCAAGCCATGACCCGCTCTGCCTTCCTTCACCTCCGTAACATTGCCCAACTCCGCCACTACCTCACCCTCAGGCCGCTGAAACTCTTATTCATACCTTCATCACTTCCAGGCTTGACTATGCAAACGCCCTGTTTGTCGGCCTTCCCAATTCCTCCCTTCACAGGCCTCAGATATTCCACAACTCTGCAGCCCGTGTCCTCTCCCGCTCCAAAGTCCGTGACCCCATCTCCCCCACTCTCGCCCGACTCTACTGGCTCCCTATCCTTCAGAGGATCCAGTTCACGATCCTGGTCTTCATATGCAAAGCCCTCCATGGCTTCGCCCCACCCTACCTCTGCGACCTCCTAACCCCCTACCAACCCGCCCGTTCCCTCTGCTCAGCTGGCTCTGGCCTTCTCCATGTCCCCCGACCCACCCGGCCCACCATTGGCGGGAGATCCTTCAGCCACTCTGCCCCCAACCTCTGGAATACCATCCCCCAATCACACCCCCTTGCCCCCTCCTTATCCTCCTTCAAGTCCCGCTTCAAGATCCTCCTTTTCAACCATGCCATCGGCCACCCCCCTTCCCCCCCCACCCCCGCGACCCCAGCTTGGGTCTAAAATGCTGTACTCTGTCCAGCGCCTTGGAACGTCCTCCCGACGTGAAAGGCGCTATACAAATGTAATCTTGTTGATGTTGTTTCCTTATTCCACGAGCCTCAGTTTACCTAGCAGTGAGTAGGAACCCAATTGCTAGTATATTGGCGGATTGCTTTCTGGGGTAGTAATTCCTTAAAAAATAATAATTACTAATATATCACTCAATCCATGACTGTTTGTGGGACTCTGCTGTGTGCAATTGGCTGCCGCGTTTCACGCACAAAATACACAGTCAATTCACTTTACAATATATTCAGTGAAGCGCTTCGAGACATTTCAACGATATGATAAGGCCTCATATCAAGTGCAAGTATTATTATGATAAAGTAGCAGATAATCATTGTGTCATCATGTTGAACCTTTTATCAGCCCTCAAGCATTCTGCTTTGCTCTATGATTAATTTATCGCACAAACCTGACTGTGAAACTCTGTAAGCCAAATTCAACATAAAGTGCTTTAAGTCTGACTTATATAGTGAGCTGTGTGTCAACCTGAATCAGGGGGTAGCACTCTCCCCTCTGACTCATGTGACTGTGGGTTCAGGCCCCATGTTGGGTTTGAATTTACATAATCTAGGCTAACACTTCAAAATCGTGGTGGGAATGTACTACATTGATAGAGGTTCCACCTTTTCGACGAGATGTTAAACCAAGTTTCTGCCTGACTTTTCAGGTGAATATTATTGGCCGGGGCACTGAGAGAAACTCATTTCTTGAATACTGTCATGGGATCATGAATAATAATAATAATCCTTGTATTTGATATAGCGCCTCATCACGTCTCGAGACGCCCAAAGCACTTCACAGAAAATGCTGTGAAGTAAATTGACTTATTTTGTGGGCGAAACGCGGCAGCCAATTGCATACAGCAGTGTCCCACAAACAGTCGTGGATTGAAGTGAGCAATTGTTTTAAAAAGGGGGTTATTACCTGTCTATATTCTAGAGAGGTTGCTTTTGGTGCAAGGGGTTTATGGGGACGAGGTGATGTTGTGTAGTGAATACTATTTCATCTCTGTGAAGTGGGTTCGGATCCAGGTCAGATGAAAGTCTGGCTTGAATTTGGGGCTGACTCACATCCAGTGCTTCATGGGCACGCACTCGCAGGACAGAACTTAACTCAGCATTGAATGGTAGGCGCTATGTCGGCAATCTCATTCAGAGAAAGCACAGGATGGCTGGAGTGGGAATGGAACAAATAATTTCTTGAACAGTTTCACGGGATCTTTAATGTCCACCTGAACAGGCAGACTGGATCCAGTTTCATATTTGTTCAGAAAGATGACGCCTCTGAAATACAGCGGTCCCCCTGCCCTGCACTAGAAGGTCAGCCTGTCTATGATCTCAAAGTCCCGATGTGGGGCTTGAACCCACAACCTTCCAAACAGAAGTAAGATTCCATGACAAGATTCAACAACCGAGGGAGACAGCCAGGGTTAGAGGTTATGGATCGTTTGGAAGCACTTTTGGTCGGTTGAGTAGGGGTGCTCCTCTGGGTTTGGGGCTCAGGAACATTCACTGGGACAGAGTAGAGGGAACTTTCAGAGCATGGCTCCAATGGAAGCAGGAACACATTTTTCCCAGCGTTAACATTCCTCACCTTGATGAGTACAAAATTCGCAGACAAAACAGAGATTTATAAGAACATAAAATGATCTCACAACAGGGTCTTTGGCTGACGCAGGATTTCCCTTTTGAGGCCCAGTAGGATTTATAACTGCCTCAAATGGCTGCATAGTCTAAATAACTACATCCAGCAGAACTAGTGTATGAATATAGAATTATACATTGTAGAAATATTATGTATAACAATTAAAGTCCTGTCAATCAAATGTGTCCATTTGCTTGTGATTCTTCAATGAACGCATTTTCAAAATGGGAGAAGGTGCCTCCATTCCTTATTGCAAACCATTCTTCAGATTCTTAAGCTGAGGCCGACACTTTGCTGCTCTTTCTGCACCATCTCTCAGGAGCATGTGTAAGCAATCAGAGGCAGCCATAACAAGCCGGTGATGTGGCTCTGCTCTGTTTCTCAATCACATTCTGTCATGCGGCAGGAGAGATAACATCCCCATTGCTCTGTTTTCCTTCTACCTGGAATGGACTAGCTTGGAGATATGTCTGGGCTAAGGGTTACTGGATGCATTCCACGTGACCTATTTTAACACTGGAGGGCTGCTCTCCTTTCGCTATATTTACAGATCTTTGGAAAGGAGATGATGATGTATTGGCTTTAAACTGCCCAACTCCCAGTGCTTCAATGCACCCCATGATCTTTACTCGCTGTGCCTGTTACTCTCCAGTCGTTTTGACTTCTTTGCCCATTCTGCATCACCTCACACCAATTTCCCTGCTTGTCCTCAATCACTGTTGTCCTCACTTCCAATTCCACATCTTGGTGCGGTTGGTAATTCTAATTCAAACCCCATGTAGGGACTCAAGTTTATAGACTGCAAGTAATTTCCTTCTTTGTCCCCGATCCTGCTCTGCTGGCCTCATCCTTCTCAGGCCTCGCTGCCATCCTTGTCCCATTCATCATCACAATCCTTGCATTTGATATTGGGCTCCATCACGTTGGTGAGACGTTTCGAAGTGCTTCGCAGAATACATTGTAAAGTGAATCAACTGTATATTTTAGCACACTGCTGCCCGCAATTGACTGCCTTTGTTTGCTCACAAAATACAGTCAATCCGCTTTTTATTATGTCTACATGAGCACTGTGTATTGGAGTTCACTTGTAAGTCTTTTCAGTAGTGCATCTTCGATCGATATATAGCTTCCACAAAGTACTGAGGGTCAACTTCTGTCCTGGATGAAATCAGCCACCTCAGCCTTCTTGTCCTTGTATGACCTAGTGCACATTGGGTGATGCTTTTGCCCACTGAGCCATTGGAAGAATTGTTTCTTTGCATTTCACACTGAGATGTATGCTCCCAGATGCGAGGGAATTGACAGCTTTTACCTGTTGTGGACTGTAAGGAAAAAGTGTGTGTGAGCGAGAGGGGTGGGGGAGAGAAGGGAGAAAGAAAACACAAAAGTACTTGCGTTTTTATTGTACCTTATGTCAAACGTCTAGGTGCTTTAAATCAATTACTGTCACGTGACTATTTTTGTAGGCAAATTTGTGGCTGAAAACGTGAACCTGATTTCCTGAGCCCACCTTTTGTTGTGTCTATTCGATCTATCCTTTTAATTTGAAATAAATCCGGTGGACAGCTTCAGTCAAAATGGGCTGCATTTAAATGCCGGGAATGTAGACTTTGCTAATCTGTTTAGCTGCAGGAATGCCTCTCTGTTTCTTCCTGTGTCTGTGGCAGTCGTGTAAAGGCTCTTTGGTGTGGTTGATAAGCGTATCTCTCTCCCTCATATTTTACTTCATACTGACCTGCAGATACTCTACTGCCCACCGCACAGTGACCTGAGCCTGCAACCCGATGCCTGAAAGTTACTGCTCAGGCCACTCATTACTTTGAAGAACAGCCTAGCGATTACTGTCTCCGTCAGGTCTGCTTTTAATTTACCAGTTTGACTTGTACAAAAGCTGGAATTCTTGCTGTTGCAATTCATCTCATTTTACACTTGAGCGCAGAGATGGTAGGACTCTTTGTACAGGATGTCCACCAAGTTCTTTTACCCGCCTGTAACAAAACAATGATGTGAGACTATGGAGAAGCTGAGACAAGCTATCAGAGATGCATTTTGCCTTGTCACTCCATCCATGTTACAGAATATATCACACCGAACATGGTGATGGATCATTATCTGCCTTGAAAATGATGGCACTCACAAATATCTCTCTCTCTCTCTGAGCCATTTCGCATCTGGTCTCCACTCCACATTTACATAGTCATTTCCAGCAAGGGTACCACTGAATAAGAGGACAGGGTTCCCTGATCCACTCTTCCCTTCCTTGCTCGGGACTTTACTTTTCGACTGCGTTTTTGGCCTCCTTCCCCTTCCCACTCCCTCTTCATCCCCCCAAGCTTACTCCCAGCTCGGGCCCCAATTCAATCTTTGTGAAAAGCTTTGAGACGTTCTCCCAATGTGAAAGGCACTACAGAAGTGTAAATCGTTGATTTGTTGAACCACATTCCCTTACTCTTAATATTGATGGATGGATTTTTTTTATCACAGTCCCTTACTTTCTTCCTTCTTAAAATTCCAACAATTTACAGACTGATCGGCTGGTCAGCAAGTCTCTTTTGCAGGGGGCATGTCAGATGTTTTGGAGAAAGTTGTTATGTCCAAGTTGGAGTTGAGCAAACATTCAATCATTTAAATCGCAACTTGAAATACGGCCAAACTTGTAATGCAGCCAATGTCATACAGTTTCCCCCGCTGTTCATTAAGAGGTTCAGCTGACCTGCCAAACACTGAGTACCGGCACTCTTGAGGACATCTGAGAGTGAGCACTGCAGGCAGATGTTAGCAGAAAACACCAGAGTCAATCCAGCTGTGATTCTGGTTTTTTATCCTTCACCTTTATCTAGGGCGAGCATCTGATGGTCACATGCTCAACATCTTGCTTTGTGACGTTGAGCTTAGTGGAATTTAACTTGTGAGACTGTCCAGGTGAGGGGATGCACTAATGTGTCATATCTTGACCTAGATAAATTGTTGTGGAGTGCTGTTGTCCGTGGCAGTTCAAATGAATGACCCAAAGCAGTTTTTTCTCACCACCTGGTGGCTTCAGAACCCAATGGTTGGAGACCTGGAAAAGGATCTCAGACCAACAATCCACCAGATAAAATTGATCATGATTGTTTGCGGAATATTACTGTGTGCAAATTGGCTGCTGTGTTCTACAGCCTACAATAGATACAGTCACTACGCCTTACAGTAAACACTGTAGCATTTTGAGACATCCACCTGATGTGAAATGCTTGGATTATTATTATGCTTTTCCTTTTTTTCTGTTCTGTAGGGTAGTGGTTGAATCGCTCGCCCTACAAGCGAGAGGATCTGGGTTCGATTCCTGGGCAGGGTGAAACCTTACGCAAGTTTCCTAACTTCACACACCTATCAATATAAAAGTATTAATAATTTGGTCACTCATTCCAGGACTATTTGTGGGACAGTGACATGTGCAATTGGCTGCCGCGTTTTGCCCACAAAATATACAGTCAATTACTTTACAGTATATTCTGTGAAGCACTTCGAGACTTCTCAAAGGCGTGATAAGGCGCTTTATCAAATGCAAGAATTATTATTATTAATATTATTACCAAACTGGTATGACCCTGAATTCACACCAGGTTTTCAAACTCAATCTAAGTCAGCCTGGTTACCCTGGGAACTGCCGCCTAACATTCTATCAGTGGAAACTTACAAACTTAGAGTCTCAGCCAGTGATCACATTATTCAGCTCATTAGGTAGTACAAGTTGCTTGATGCTACCCACAAAATAATTGCCTTCAAAGCCGAGCTACTGCTGACCCGACTTCCCTTCTGATCATATGGAATATTTAGCCCAGCTGTAATCTGGCTGCATCGGGTGATATGGTGAGGATTCGTTGTCTGGAATGTCTGGGGCCCCTGTATTATGAGCACGAACTCTTAACTAATAAGCCACGTGCATGAGTACTACAGGGAACAGATGCTTGTCTCACCAATGGACAAGATTGCTGGCCTGGGCTTTTGTTCTCAGCCATCTGTATCCTCAACCTCCTTGCCCATTCCTTCCCATATTTTCTGCATCAACAACAAATAGCTATAGCGTCTTTCACATTGGGAGGAAATCCCAAGGAGCCTGATAATGAAGGGTTTGCTACCGAGCTGCGGATTGGGATCAGGGAGGGGTGGAGGGCAGGGGATTGGCGGAGGGAAGATGAGTGAAGACATTGTTCACCTAACTATCCTCTTAAAGGAAGAGTAGAGTAAATCCACCACCTCAGTACACTGAAAGTACAGTACATTGCTGTACCTTCATTGCTGGTTAAAGAGAAGGTCCCGCCACCACTTTCTCATGAATGCCAGCATCGCCCACATCCCAAGATAAGATGAAAGACCAAAATAAGTCTTTGTTCAGGAGCTCAATACAAGTTAGCTGAATCAAAAATGTGCTACTTTTGATTACCGATGTGTAACTGGGGAATATTGCTATATACAACGCTAGTCTCTTGCCGCATGCTGCAGCAGCAACACAGTCCTTGATTTGGGTTGTCCACAATAATGTCTTCAATAGTCTGGGCATTGCAGGTATGAGTGGATCAAGGTATTTTAGACACCATTACCAAACTAGGAATCCACTTTAAATATGCCCATTAAAGAGTGTTTCTTTGAAAAATGTTCTAATTTCTCCAGTCCAGTAACTTGGAATGAGATACGCCAAAATAACAACATAAGAATTTGCTAGGTAAAAGAAGACCAAGGTCCATCCAATTTGCCTTCCACCATCCTGGCAGTTGCTTGACATGTCATGTCCCAAACTATATATTGTATCCCGAGATATTATTTTCCAAAAGAAATGTAACTAATTTGCTCTTGAAAGAATCAATACTTTCTGCTTCCAATAAATGCACAAAATTAGTGCTGCACTGGACTGCTCAGGAAGATAAGGACGAGATCAGCAAAGTGTCTCTCTTTGTCTTTGTGTTGTTCTCCTTATAAACAGCAACTAGTCTCTCTGTGCTGGACTGGGAAAGAACATTAAATGTACTTCCCATCACTTTGAGGCAATGTTGGAGATGGATCGGTGGTGGGGGGGGCACCAATAATACCAACTGATCCAATAAATTTTGTCAATCCCTCATCTTGTGTGTGAAATATATGTAGCCCATTTAACACTTATTTCTACCTCAGCTCCATGTGGACTTAATTTCTTCACAGTGCGGGCACACTGTAAAGGAAATGAACACAAGATGCTCCCTTTAAAGTGGTACAAAGCAGCAGTGGGAACCTTGGAGTTGCACAGGAACAAGACTCATTCTGTTTTATCAGGTGGATGGATGCAGCAGTGAAAGAAGACTTGGCTCCATTATGTTCCAATATAATCCTGGAATTGCAGGATTATAGTGAGCATTGTTCACTCCTTTAGCATCTCTGCACATGGCCACAATGTTTCTGTTTCCTGTTTTATTATTTTTCTTGTTTATTTTGATGCGGCTTTAACCCGATCCGTTAATAGGGGGTGTTGGAACAGTGTGGTTTGAGTTGTAATTTAGTTTGTTACATATGGGTTACTGGGATGGTAGTTGAGATTAGCAGGTTAATAATAACCCTTGCTTTGATATAGCACCTTATCATGTCATCGAGCTGTCTCATGCGCTTCATGGAATACACTGTAATCACATAAGGTATATTAAATGCAAGTATTATAATAGCTTAAGTTCAATAAGTGCAGTTCTCAATAAGTTCTCCTTGCCTCTGTCCTGAGTGGGTTTACCATGTTGGTGGGAAAACAAACATTTATTGTTGTAAAAATATTACAATAATACTATAAAATAAATGATGAGCCAGTGCAACCTGGTCTTTAGGTTTAGGTAATGTTTCCTGTCGCTTCGGAACCATGAGTTTGTATTGAAGCAAATTTTTCTGCTCTTATTCTACACTTTTATTTTTGTGCAGGCGCATCATTTCACAGAGTCCGAATGGCACCTTTTGTACTGGATCAGCACGGCGTTATCACTTGTGTGAAATTCGGGTAAGGTCATCTCGCTATCTGTGTTTATCAGACTGCGGTTTAACTCTTCTCCATCCATTTTCAAGCTCAGCTTCTCACCGGTGATTGTCCACAGCAGGAATCGCTAGGTCCAGGTTGTTCACAAAGTTCTGTTAACCCCGTTTTTGGAACATAGGAACAAAAGTAGGCCATTCAGCCCTTCGAACCTGTTCCACCATTCTGTGGTTGTCAACTTGACAGTCCTGATTGGCAGATGGTGGGTGACAAAAGGGGTGGGGAGAGGAAAGATGACCCAAAGCGCGGTCAAAGAGGAATGTATATTTCTATCTCCAAACCCGGTTCATAGATGCCATCACTGTCATTTATTGCATGTAATATTTTTGTTTTTAACACACAGCCCTGTCCAAGCAATGGAATCAGCTTCAAACAGCAGCAATGTTCTGCCTTCAATGCTAAAGCATTCAGTGGTCAGTACTACCACTGGGTTCCCTTGTATCCAGGTAAGATTGACAAAATGTTTTTATCAACTTGAATATGAAAATGGAAACGTGAATATGAGGTCCTATTGTGTCGGGAGGGTGTCTCAAAGTTCTGGCATGAGATGTGGGGTTTAAACCCAGAAACTTCCCAACTCAGAGGCGATAGTGCTATCATCTAAGCCAGCCATTAAATAGCACAGAGAGTTGAATGAGGGGTAACGACTCTTTCTGATTTGCTACACAGATGACTACATCAACATTTCTAATAAGCCATGCGACTTGCAATGCACGACTACGAACGGAGAGAGACAGTTAATAGTCCCCGCACAGGATGGAACATCGTGCCGGGACAGAACCTATCAGGGTGTCTGCATCAGCGGCAGGTGTGAGGTAAGAGCCAGCTGGTGATCAGCTGCGGAGGAGGCTCACAATGATGTGGGGGGGAAGAGGGTGAGGTTTGCAGATGGCAAGGGGGAGCTTGGTGATGGTGGGAGGGATGGGGGAGGTTGGCGATGGTGGTGGGGGTGGCAATGGGAAGGTTGGTGGGGGACACACGAGATGGGTCCTGTACAGTAAATAATGTGTTTTTGCAGCCTGTGGGGTGTGATGGGTTGCTGTTCTCCTCTCAACGATTGGATAAGTGCGGACTTTGCGGAGGTGACGGCAGCACCTGCTTCCGGATCTCAGGCACCTACCGAAGGGGAAACACACACTTAGGTAGAAGCTCGGCCATTTAGTATGTTTAATCTGTTTGTTAATTGACATGACTGACGGAGACAGTGATCGCTGGTATCAACAGAAAAAAGCATTGTTTTCTGGCCTCGACCACCCTTCTTGATTATCTGATAATATTAATAATAATAATCCTTGCATTTTGTATCACATCGGAAGGGTGTCCTAAAACGCTTCACAGAATTTACTGTGAAATGGATTGACTGTTGTTTATAAGCAAAGATGGCAGCACAATTGTGCAGAAGAATGCCCACAAACAGCCATCGAATGAGTGACTAATTTTATTTAGGGGATTTATTGGCTATGGGATCTTTAACTCCACTTGAACAGGCAGATGGAACCTTGATTTATCGTCTCTTTTGAAAGACAGCACCTCTGACAATGCACCCCTAGCACTGCATTGAAGTGTAAGCTTAGACTATGTGAGTTCAAGTCCCAACATAGGATTTGAACCCGTAACTTTCTGACTCGGAGGCGAGAGTGCTATCACTGAACCAAGCTGATCCCTGCTATTCATTACCCAGAACTGTACCAAGTATTAGCAGAAGAGATTAAACGATAAAGGCAGAACAGCTCAGGACTATTATTTACTCTCAGGGAACAGCAACACCATTTATGGCTGCCTCTTTTTCTTGCTGTCTTTCTCTTCTCCGTTTCTCTTGCTCTTTCTATCTCTTGTTCTTTCTCTCTCCCATCACTTGGCTCAAGCCTGAGTCAACCTTGAGAGTCAGAGTTGTATATTCAAGCCTCACGTTGAACCCTCACACAATGTCTATGATGACACTTCAGTGCTGGAGGTGCTCCCCATTGTTGGAGGGGCAGTCCTTAAACTGAGATGTTAAATCCAGGCCCTGAGTGCTTCAGTTGGACAACAAGATCCTGTGGTGCTATTTGAGAAAAGAAGGGAGTTCTCTCAGTGCACTGGCCAACAATCCTAGCTCTGCCAGTGTGGTGCACCATACAAGAACAAATTGCAGAGAGCACCATGTCTACTGAGAACAACACGTGGAGTCCCGTAGATTATTAGTTAGAGCATTTACCTCCCAAGCGACCGGACCTGAGTTCGATTCCCGAGGGTGCCAAAACTGTAGACAAATTTCCTTACTCCACACTCCTCTGTTCACTGAGCAGTAAGTAGAAACCTGGCTGTTTGTTGATTGGTGGATCGCTTTCTGGAGGTAATAATGCCTTCAGAAAAAATAATAATAATAATTTGGTCACTCAATCCACGACTGTTTGTGGGACACTGCTGTACACAATTCGCTGCGCATTTTGTCCACAAAATATACAGTCAGTTCACTTTAGTGTGTATTCTGTGAAGCGCTTTCAGACGTCTCAATGACATAAGGTGCTGTATCAACTGCAAGTATTATTATAATACATGAGCAGGATGTGTTCTGTAAATGACTTTCGGGCTTGTTATCCTGTCCTTTTTTGAGAATGCAGTGCTTGTCAACCCCACGATACCTGCGTGTATATGTGTGTGTGTGTGTGTGTGTGTGTGGCGTATGGTGTCTGGAGTGTGGGTGGGTGGGTGGGTATGTGGGGGTGGAGTGTGTATGTGGGGGGGGGTGTATGGGGGTGTGTGTGTAAGTGAAGCCACTTGGATTTGATGTGATCCTTTCTTTGCTCTTAGGCTACTTGTTTATAACAAACATTCCTGTTGGTTCGTCTGACATCCAAATCATTGAAAGGAGGAGAACAGAAAATATCTTGGGTAACTCTCATTACCTGTTAATTCTTCTGACCTTTCCCCTGGTTGTGTTGTGCAGTGTTCACTGATCTGTTTGTCTCCAAAGCTCTGGCAGATGAAAGTGGACACTTTTTCTTCAATGGAAACCCAGTGATGGATAACCCTCGGAATTTTCGGGTGGCCGGGACTGTGTTTAAGTACCGGAGACCGACAAACCTGCTCTCTGATGGGTTTGAGTACATCATCGCACAAGGACCCACAGACCAGGGGCTGAACGTGATGGTATGTACTACAGAGGACTATGTGAGCTAAAAAGCTGGACAGTACTTGCCTGCACCACAATGTCTCTAACCCTGTGTGGATTGAGGAATAGTTACACTTACCAACTAATCTTTGTTGCACAAGCCATGGTCCACAGCGTCCAGCAGTACATGCGAAGAGATGAATGATTGCAACCTCTTTGCCATTCCGTGAAGTCATTGTTCTTGAAGGTTATTCGTTCCCATGAAACAATCAAAAGTAATGGGAAAACTGCTGAAGAATTTGTAGATTTAAGATAAGTCTGGCTTTTGAACAATTTAGAATGGTAACAATGCTGAAACCAAACAATATGAACTGCAGGTTGCTATCGTCTACAGAGCCAGTCAGGGATTTGTCATATGGGGGGTGGTGGAGGGGAAGAGGAGGGTCTATCTTTCAATGTCTCTCGACAACATTAAATTTCACTACTCAGCAATAAATCCAAGCAAGAGGACCCAGGTTCATTTCCCTGGCGGGGAGAAATCTTAGGGAAGTTTCCTTACTCCACATACCTTTGTTGACCTAGCAGTAAGTAGGAGCCCAGTTGTTAGTCGATTGGCGGATCGCTTTCCAGGGGTAATAATCCCTCAAAAAAAATTGGTCACTCCATCCATGATTGTTTGCGGGAGATTGCTGTGTGCAATTGGCTGCTGCATTTCACCCACAAAGTATACATTCAATCCACTCTACAATATATTCTGTGAAGAGCTTTGAGACTACTCAAAGATATGATAAGGCGATAATAATCCCTCCAAAAAACAAAACAATAATAAATTGTTCTTTTTCAATCCACAATTGTTTTTGGGACACTGCTGTGCGCAATTGGCTGCCGTGTTACGCCCACAAATATATGGTCAATTCACTTTACAGCATATTCTGTGAAGCACTTTGAAACGTCTAGAAGACGCGAAAAGCGCTATATCAAATGCAAGGATTATTATTATATATAAGCACTCCGGAACGCTAGCCGCGTGAATGGCGCTATATAAACGTAATTTGTTGTATATCAACTGCAAGGATAATTATATAAATCAAAATAGTTTATTTAAATCAACATCAGGTAATGTTGACCTGCATTTTAAGCCTTAGATCAAGTTTGCTCGTGATCTTCTTTTCTCTAATCAAAAGCAGTTCAGTTCTGTATTCTTGTCACTAAGTGCTTGATGTCCCAGAATCATCTATGTCGATCTTTTGTGAAGCATCGCCAGTGAATAAATGATGCCCAAACCTACACACTAGACTCTAAATGTCAAGAAAATTGCTCACCAGCAATTTCCTTGATATAATGTTGAAGACATGATAAGGCGCAATATCAAATGCAAGGATTATTATTATTATCTGGCATTCTTTGCTCCATCTGCAATTTGGTCCAAATGTCCATCAACTCATCCAAAATTATATGTGATCCTGAGATTTATTGTTTCATGTAGAGTCATAGAAATTTACAACACGGAAGAAGGCCATCAAGTCTATACTGGTTCTCAGAGCAAGTTGTTCATTCAATCCCACAGCCCTCCCCTATCTCCATACCCCTTCCAGCCAACGTTCTTCATATACCTGTCTACTTCCCTCTCAAAACCTACAATGGAAGCTTCCTCTTACTTGGAAGGCCATTCCACATCCCAACAACATAGTTCAATGGAAATAAATACTTTCAGTACTGTAGTCATGCGAACCATTTCTTCAGAAGGAGGTGAGTTCTTTATGACACAGTAGGTTATTAGTTGCATTCATTTGAAATTTGTTCCACTGCTTGTGGATCAAAGAACAGACCATTCGTGCACAGAAATACATTGGAAACCATTTCACTGTAACAGGAATGTTGCCCCATTCATTCGCACGGTAAGTGAAATGCCACATTACAATCCATTATTGTGCTGTTATGAAACACAATGAGAGTTAAGCACTTGCCGGGCTTGCCTGTTGTTTCATAGTTGATTGTGGGTAAAACGGAACATTCAAAACTTTACATTCCCGTGATGAGTCTGGTGTGGAAACCCAACTGCAGTGCTCAGTTGGTTGGAAACTAACCTCCACTTTTAAAATCAACAACAACAAAATTACATTTGTATAGCACCTTTCACGTCGGGAGGACGTCCCAAGGCGCTGGATAATCAGTGTTTCAGACCCGAGCTGGGGGTCAAATCTAATGAACGCATCCTTCATTGAAATCAAAACATTTTAAGATCAGACTTTTGAATTTATGCCTTAAATGTTGCTGCCAAATTTGTACTGTTTCTCTCTTATCACCCCACCTCCCCCCTCCCCACCACCCATATTTAACTGTCAAAGGAATTGCTCCCCTGGGCTGTTGACCTGTGAGAAATTGAAGAGATTGTTGTGAGAAGCATGGATGGGTTGTGGCAGCTTGATTAGGAGAAATTCTCATGATACTTTGATGGGAGAAAGGCGTGTATCCTTACTCCTCGTGGCTCTGTTTACCTAGCAGTAAATAGGAGTCCAGTTGTTAGTCAATTGGCGGATTGCTTTTCCGGGAGTAATAATCCTTTAAAAATGTTTTTAAAAAGAGCAGTCTCTCAATCCACAACTGCTTGTGGGACACTGCTGTGTGCAATTGGCTGCCGAGTTTCACCCACAAAATGCCCAGTCAATTCACTTCACGGTATATTTTGTGAAGCGCTTTGAGACGTCCGGAAGACGTGATAAGACACTATACTATATGCAAGGATTATTATTATTGGGGTAGTCATCTGATTTTGGATAATCTGAATAGGTCGGAAAGCTTTTTGCTGTTTAATCAGGGAGAAGTAAGAGGATGAAGCACTTTGTATTGATAGATCACTTCCCCGTCCAGTGCTCTGTCCCTTTTAAGCACGTTGAAAGCAAGCTCCAGTGCTTTTGAACTGCAGCTTTGGAAAGTTTTGAATGTCGAGTTTTAGTGATCTTTACTACTGAAGAGCTAATGTGAATGTGACTCTCCAGGAATAACACTTGGCTTGTGCTTCTGATGACCATCTGTTCATCTTATGATGTTCTAGGTCAGCAGCCCAGAGGAGCAGTTCATTTGACAGCAGGGGAGCAACATCAATTTTGGCAATAAAATTTAAGGTATATATCGAGGCTTTTGAACATTATAAAAATTTCTTATGTCTAGGTGTAAATGAATCACACAATGGTCCTTGTTGGAGATTATAATTTGGCTTTTTTTAAAAAAAAATTTGCGGGGGGAAATAGTTTAAAAAAAACTTGAAAAAAAATCAATGTGTAAGCCAGGTTCCAATTGCAGCAGATAATTATTATATTTCTGCAAGTTGGTGCTTTGCTAATAGATTTTCTGGGATGTAGTTTTGCTCAGGCACATGTTTTCTGTTGTTTTCGGTAATATGGAGTCCCGTAGTGTAGTGGTTAAAGCACTCACCTCGCTTGCGAGAGGACCGGGTTCAATTCCCGGGCAGGGAATTGAAGGCAAGATTCCTTACTCCATATGCCTCTGTTTACTTAGCAGTAAGTAGGAACCTAGTTGTTAATCGATTGGCGGATCGCTTTCCAGGGATAATAATCCCTTAAGTAAAATAATAGTAATCTGGTCATACCGTTTGTGGGACACTGCTATGGGCAATAGTCTGCCAAGTTTTGCTCACAAAATACACAGTCAATCCACTTTACAATATTCTATGTGAAGCTCTTTGAAACATCTCAACGACATGATAAGGTGCTATGTCAAATGCAAGGATTATTATAATAATATATTTCTGCCAGGTGTCAAAGGTTATATCTATTCAACATAAAGACATGTATTCTTTTTGAATACACTGTGCTCGTTATTCACTGTTGCACAAACAAATATTGTTTTTCAAGTGATTGGAAGCTTTGAATTGGTTGTGGTGGGAGTGTGTGTTTTTTTTGAGAGACAGAATGCATGGCACCGTCAAGGACTTGGATATTGAAGTGTTTAACATTTCCCCCGTCATCTAATGTAGTGAATATTTATAGTTTTTGAAAAAAATGCATTGTATACTCTTGGGAACATTCCATTCCCTGACCTGATAGCAGACTTCAACGCAACCAGCTTTGTAGGCTATTCGGCACAAGAGGGAAACTGACTGACCCTTTGATCTTCCTTTGCCTGTGCATTCCTTTTATGGCCTATCTTTCTAATCCCTGGACGTTAAATTGAAGAAAAACACGCTCAAGGGGGAACTCAACCCTGTTTTTAAAAGGAGTCAGTAGCTGAATTCTCCACCCAGTGACAACCTGCACAGCTGTTTTGCAGTGAGATCCAGATGTCCCTTGATTCCTTTCTTCCAATACATGCTTTTTGGGGTACTGTGTTTTCACGCTCCTAAAAGTGAAGGAAGTTAACTGGTGGAAAATGAAACTCTTTAGACACACTGGTATCAGTATCTCAGTGTCAGCGCTTTGGGAAGTCCACCTGACACGAAAGGCGCTATACAAATATAATTTGTTGTTATAGTTGTTGTATCTCGCAGTCCCACTTTAGATTGAAATGTTCGAATGCTGCCTCGACAACCAGGCGAACCATTGTACTGTATGCCACGGGATAGCTCCCTCTACCTCTATCGCATAGAATGTCTGTGACCCACAGTTATCCTTGTAGCCTCTCCGAGTTGCATTCCAATCACTATCTCCTTTCTGCTTATCTATAACAATAATAATAATCCTTGTGTTTGATATAGCACCTTATCTCAAAGTGCAATATCTGCTCAATTTCTTGAGGACAAGGCTGCCCAGATGACGAGCACTGGATTGAGACCTTTTTTAAGATTTTGTCACCCTGGTCTCTGATTTTATCAATATTATTGATATTTATTAACATTCTGAATATTTTGAATATATTGAATTTTTAAACATATTTTGAATATTTAAAAAAATTATTTTTAATATGTTTAATATTTTAATGTAAGATCTTTAATATGGTTAATATTTGATATTAATAATAAATTCAAATGGTGAAATAATAAAGATTGACATGCTGGAAGCAGATAAATTTCTTTTGCAGGGGCTCGACTGTGCAGCTCTGCTATAATTGTCTTCTCTTTGTCTTCTACAGTATTATAACCTGAATGGGAAGATTCCTCATGTAACCTACGAGTACACAATCCCACGTCCTCCTGTCCTCAAGCCGGCGCCCCCTGTGGTAACACCGTTTTACTTCCGCATTCCGGAGGCAGATTATGGAGACGGCGACAACAAGCTGGGGCGGGTTCAATTCCACCGAGATCCCCAGCTGCTCCACAATGAGACGGCGCTCGGGATCGCTTACAGCGACAACGAAATCACCAAAATGGAAAGTCGCCAAAATATCAGCTTCACCTCTGACCTTGGCGTGAGCGGCGAGAATGTTTCTCGCGCAGACTCGGATGATCAAGACTGGGAGCTGTACCCGTCGAACAATCTATCTGACATCGCCGGCATCATGTTTTACAAGTCACGGAATGAGTTCCATAGGAACCGGGCAATGGAGCAGCCCCGAAGAGAGGAATCCAACTCAGGTGAGGCATGTTACAGCTAATGTTATCTGGGTGATTGCATGTTACAGAGGCAATCAAGTAGGTAAGAGTTTATCACAGCTAATTCATTCAGATGAATGCAAGTTGCAGCCAACTCATTTGAATGAGAATATGTTACAGCTATTTCATCCAGATGTTAACAGCGAAATTGTCTTTCACTAACACACTCCACTACATCTACTTACAATCATTCATTCTTAGTGCTCCTAACCTACTTAGGTGATGCCAGATAGTGTTGACATTGCAATTGCCCAGAGTTCCTGAAAACTGGAATGATGGGCATTGTCATGGCAGTGCAGAGTGAAGAAAGGCATTGAGCAATGGTTCTAGAGTAAGTACCAGCAAATGCCTTGTGAAATTACAGCATTATTAAAACTCCTCACCTGCACCAAACTCTGCCTATCCATCACCCAAGTCCTTGCCATGCTTTGCTGGTTCTTTGCTCAACGATTTCAAGGTCCTCACCCTTATGAACGTGGAACTTGAACCCACACCTTTCTGACTCAGAGGCGAGTGTGCTACCAACTGAGCCAGGTTGACACACCTGAGCATCCAAGTACGACATAGCTATAATACATTATAGTGAAAGCATTAAGTTGAATAGGTGGCTCTGAGTGTTGAAATAAGATCCACCTGTGACTCTCTGTGGTCTGAGCTGCTGGTCTCAGCTGCACCGTCACAGTAAGTAATTTAAACTCTGGTTGGATGCCAGTGAGTGAGGTTTGCTGGAGTCCCAACGGATTGGCGGCAGTTTTTCCACGCTCCCCTAGAACTACTCAGGTCTCCATCTCAGCTGCACAGAAGTAGAGGCCAGGTTATACTAATCACTAGTTGTCCTTGCGGGTTATTTCCTGAAGGAAAGGAAACTGGAAAGTAAGAGGCTTTGCGGTCTACTCATGCACTTCCTATCGGCTAGTTTGGTAATGGTGCTGGACTCCTTCAGTAGGGTCGTCTTGGAGCTAAACTGACTTCCAATTCCGGCAACGGAATATCGGAATCGAGCCAGCCCTCTGTGGTGGACTCTACTCCGGAGCCAGGTGGGTCTGCAGTATTCCAGGGTACTGCTGATGACGGCACAGCCCAGCCTGGCTCATTGGCAGGACCTGGAAGGTCAGACCAGTTACTGGGGGCAGGGAGTCATCCCTCTCAGCTCCTGTTAACCCTGTGCTGAACTGAGAACACATTTCTCTCTTGCTAGTGCTTGGAGAGTGAAGGGCTGGAGGGTTTCCAAAGGTATCTTTTGTTCATGTGGAACTGCAGGGTTTTTGTCATGGGAACTCTTGACTTTCTTGGATGACAATTCTAATCATGTCCTCCTTTCTAAGGTCTTCAGTCCAATATGATCAGTCTGAGCCCCACACCCTGGAACACAACGAGCACTTTGCACCACTCACTCTTTTATAGCAACTTTCGAAGCACCGCGAAGCAGAACAGTCTGCGAGCTTTGTGTAAGAACACTTCCCTGAACGCAGCCCTGCCTGTCCTGTGCCCAGATCTGCAGGCCAACCTGACGGCCAGGCTCAGCAATGAGAACTTCACCAGCTACTCAAAGACTGGTCCAAACAGTCAGCAAGTTGAAGACTTGGATGAGGCAACTGACAAACTTGATGCGGGTTTGGATCTTGAAACCAAGACCGGAACCGAGGACAAATTCAGCTACAGCTTGCTGACGGATGCCACTTACTCACTTTCCAATTCCACTTCGTTTCACCTCTTGAACTTTGTGAATAACCACAAGGCGGAACCAGTTCAGGCTCCGGACACTGAAAGGTAAGATCAGCTAATTCACTTATCATCTTCGGTTCATTTGGATAAGCAACTTCATGAGTACCTTTTGTAGTTTAACCCAGACATGGATGTCTCCATTGCAAAAAGCAGAACATGTTTCACATGGAAATCAGAATGGAAAGCCTGGGTAAAATACTGGCACAATGGATAGATGTCTTGATTGGGGGGAATCAAAAAACAACAACAAATTGTATTTATATGGCACCTTTCATGTCAGGAGGATGTGAAAAGCGGTCAGGGGTAAGATGCAGAGCTTTTCCAGAGCCTTTACTGTGGATAGGTGTACATTTGATGTCTTGTGCTTTATGTTCTTACGGAAACTAAAGGAGATAGAGTATTGGTGGCTTTACTGTGGATAGAGCTTGAGTGAATCTGCCCATGTTAGTACAGCTCTTGTACCTCAATCGGTCTGCTTTCTCCATGTTGAAGCTTTCTGTGTGAATTGAGACTCGGAAGTATTATAGAAATGAGAAATCTCAGTGCAGAAGGAGGCATGTCAGCTCATCAAACCTATGTTGGTGCTAGCTCCTCCACTGAAGCAGCATTCTATTATATCTGAACACCCAAATTCTTGGGATTAAGATCACTGTCTTGCAAACCTAAGACTGTGCAAACCTTAGCCCTTTTTCCTTTTGCTGGTGTCCAGTTCCACAGGTAATATTTCCCCTCTATATCATACCGAAATTAATAGTTTTGCCCACAACACATACAATCTATTCACTTTACAGTATATTCTGTGAAGCGCTTTGAGACATCTCGACGACATGAAAAGGAACTATATCAAATGCAAGGATTATTATTATTCATGCCTGAGCCTTTACAATGAGTATTGGTTAGCTATTTGTTTGGGGATGAGGTGGGGCATCGCAGTCTGAGTCCCATCATGTCCTTGACATTACCTGGACAAATAGTCATTAGGAATGGGAAGAAGACATTATCTTATCAGAAGGGATATCAATGCTAGTATCTGTTTAGCAAGTGAAAAGCTCTGGTAAGATGCTGGAACCCAGATTTGCTTTCCCTCTTCCTGACTGAAATGCTTGTCTTCCACTCAGCAACTCTCCGTAGTTCATCATGTGGGGGAAATGGTTGTGCACCTGATTTCAAGCACACTGTGGTGAGAAATGTTGGAGAACTCTTTATTTGGCTCTTGGTACAGCTTGGGGTTGTGACCCTTAACAGAACATTAGCAATAGTGATTCACAGCACAGATAGTCGTAAGCTGTGAGCCTCACTGATATGGCCTGTGGATGACCCTAGTGACTACCTCTCGCAGATGGTAATAATAATCCTTGCATTTGATGTAACTTGTAATCTCGTTGAGATGTCTCAAAGTGCTTCACAGTAGATTGTAAAGTAGATTGACATTGTATTTTGTTGGCGAAATGTTGCAGCCAATTTGAGTACAGCAGTGTCCCACAAACGGTCCTTTTTTTGAGGGATTATTACCCCTGGAAAGCGATCCACCAATCAACTAACAACTGGGTTTCTATTTACTGCTCGGTAAACAGAGGCGTGTGGAGTAAGGAAACTTGCTTAAGTTTCGTTCTGACCACCAATCACTACTCCACGGAACTTCACCCTAATCGTTTGAATGTAATTTTATTGGTATCTAGGGTTTTTGGTTGATAATAATAAAAATAATAATCCTTGCATTTGATATAGAGCTTTTCACGTCTTCTCGACGTCTCAAAGCGCTTCACAGAATAGACTGTAAAGTGAATTGACCGTATATTTGTGGGCGAATGGCATGGCTTCCTGGATTGGGTGGTTTGAAGTACATTCCTCTCGTGTGTGAGTTGACTGTAAATACAGGGATTGTTCCTGTAGCTAATGCATCACTGACCTTTCCTATTCCCCTCTTTGCAGCAATGAGTTTGAAGACGGAGAGATTGATCATGACATCAGCCTGGCCGACATGTACAGATGGAAGGTATCGGCGTACGCACCCTGCAGTTCCACATGTACCACAGGTGCCTTTGGAAACCCTCCAGCCCTTCACTTTTACAAGTACAGGGCCGTTCATCTTTCACCCAAAGGGGTGGGGGAGGGGAGAGCATGGGTTTCACATATGCGAGTATCGCTGTTGGCAAAGCCTTGTAGACTTAGCCACGTACCTTGTGAAAAGATCCCCTACCTTCCTTGAATTTCAGAATTATCCTTGGAATTTTCTGCTTTTTCCCCAAACTCTCATCTTCATTAGTTTGTGCCTCTCCTTATAATCAATATATCCCCATCCCAAGTAACATTGGTCACTCATTCCATGGCTGTTTGTGGGATATTGCTGTGCGCAAACTGGCTGCCGCATTTCGCCCACAAAATAACAATGATAATATTAATCCTTGCATTTGATACAGTGCCTTATCACGTCGTTGAGACGTCTCAAAGTGCTTCACCAAATATACTGTAAAGTGAATTGACTATATTTTGTGTGCAAAAATTTACAGTATATCCTGAAGTGCGCTATATAAATACAAGTTGTTGTTGTTGGGTCTCTAAGCTTCCCTACATAACGCTGCTCAGAGTCCTGGGTCCCAGAAACCTTCGCCGAACCTTTGCTAGCCACATTTCTCAATGTGCGATGCATTGTCCCCACTATTCCAAAGTGTCCTCACTCCAGCAATGACTGAAAATAGCACAGTTCTTGTGAAACCGAAGGCCTAAAGCATTAACTAATGAGATTAATTAGAAATGGAAATGAAGTGAATGTGGAGGCAAACGCAGAAGCTAATTTACGCCTGGAACGTCTCAAAAAACAGCAGAGACGAGTAAACAATTAATCAGAATTTTGGGGGTGAATTTGAATGAGGAAGGGATATAGGAGAACATAACTGGGAGAAATACTATCAACCCGTTCAGTGTATCTCAAGGCAGACAGGACTAAATGCCCAGTGATCAATGTAAAGCTGTGATGACTTTGGTTAATTTATTAAATCCTTCGGGGATGGGGGCGGGTTGGGGTGTAGAGTTGAGTGGATCAGCTTGGAGTTGAGCTGCCAAGATAATGTGACATGCTTTTTGACGTAAGGTCGGAGTTGAGTCAATTCTCAAGTCTCAGTAGTCTGTCCGATTCCGATTGGGTCCACAGCACTCCAGGGCCTGACCCATTGGCAGGACTCGGTGTGCAGGCCAGTCACTGTAAGCAGGGATTCTTCCCACTTGTATCCTTGAAAGCCATAGCCTTAGTGAGTCAGCCCACAGTCTTGGTATAGCTCACAAATATTAAAAAATCACAAGGAATCCCGCACAATGTGTAATGAACCATGTAATCTGCAGTGCTCTGTAGAACCAAAGCGCCATAATAATAACAATAATTATCCTTGCATTTGATGTAACGCCTTCTCACGTCGTTGAGACATCTCAAAGCGCTTCATAGAATATATGAATTAAATGTATATTTTGTGGGCAAAAGGCGGCCGCCAATTACACGCGAAATAAACCATAGAAATTTATTGTACTGAAGAAGGTCTTTTGGCTAATGATGTCTGTGCTGGCTTTTTTTAAAAGAATAATTCTTTCAGTCCTATGTACCTGCCCTTTTTCCCCCATACCCGTCACTCCGACTTTGTGCATTAACCTACATACACGTGCTCCACAGCCGAAGGAAATCCTGGGCAGCCTTTATCACTTTTTTAAATTTATGTCTTGAGCTGGGAAAAAAGTTAGTGCTATAACTTTAGAAGATTAATAGGATGATTTTAATGGAAGTAATTCTCAATCATCTGAGTTCACAGAGGGCTGTCTAGGGCCTGAATCGCTCATTTGTCCAAATTCGCTCCAGCTCTCATTTGGGTAACAAGATTGTTGTTTTGTGAGATTCCCTCACGGCTGTCAGTTGGCATGTTATGTGCGCGAGCGACACGCTCTAGGTGATTGATTGTATCTCTCCCGGGAACTGATCCGCTTTGCACATAATTGAAGTGCAGACAGGAGCTTTGGTGTGATTTATGAGAACGGCTGATAGTGACCCTGCAGTTGCACAGCGACTCCATGGAAACCCTGAGGAGATCGTAGCCAGCTCCAGTACTTTGGGAAGATTGCTTGTGTCCAGGGACGATTAATAATTCATCGACGACATCAAGAACACGGTTGTTAATTTAACTGCTGAAAGACTGATGGAGCAATGTCTAGTGAACCTCGATGCTCTCGCCCGCAGGGATTACCACTTCATATGCGATGTGTGTCCGATATGACGGGGTGGAGGTGGATGAATCGCACTGCGATGCAGTGACCAGACCTGAACCAACTCATGAATTTTGTTCAGGAAGAGAATGTCCTCCAAGGTGAGATATGAATTCCTTACACTGTGAGAATGTACAGAGCTCAGAACTAATCACTGCGGTCCCTTTTGTCAGTCCCGTCACCATTTTGTAGGATGGACGTATACTATACAACATGGGAGCTGTTTGCAATTCAGCTGAAGTCCTGTGTGGTTAGCACACTCGCTTCACAAGCGAGAGGACCTGAGTTCAATTCCTGGGCGGGGCAAACCTCAGGCAAGTTTTCTTACTCCGCACACCTCCTGTTTACCTAGCAGTAACTAGGAACCCAGTTGTTAGTTGATTGGTGGATCACTTTCCGGGGGTAATAATCCTTTAAAAAAAAAATTAAAATAATAATTTGGCCACTCAATCCACGACTGTTTTGTGGGACACTGCTGTGTGGAATTGGCTGCCGTGTTTCGCCCACAAAGTATACAGTCAATCCATTTTACAGTATACTCTGTGAAGAGCTCTGAGATGACTCAATGAGATGGTAAGGCGCTATATTAAATGCTAAGATTATTATTATTATTGCCTTCACTCCATCCATTGGGCTTGGCAGATCTGCTGCTCTATGGGATTCTGAGTCTCCGCCTCTGGCATCCCAAGTCTGGGGATTTTGCCAGAGCAGCAATTCGGCACAGTTCATTCCCTTCTCCTTGATCATTGTGGTGAGAGCAAAGCCATTCCATTAAGAGTCAGGATTACTTCACCGCCTTCAGCAAAGAACTCTTCAAATCAAAGCCCTGTTGCTTTAGTGCAACGATCAGTTCTGTAGCATTTCCTTCCTGTGGGTAAGTGTTGGCTGCTAATTGTATTTGGCAAATGCACACAATCTGCATCCTGTCACTTGTGTGGATTGTTGGAGTGTTCCCTCGAACAGCCTTCAAGCAAAACTGCCCAATTTTTGATTAATGCCTTGACAAAAGTTTAGTAAGTAACACAGGATTTTGAATATTGCTGGAGCCTGAATTACGTCTCTCTTTTAGCTGTTTTTCCGGGTCCTGGAATCAATAGAGAGAAAACACTGCAGTCACAGTCTGAGGAAGATCTTCAAGTAAATCCAAACTTATAAACATCCAAGTCTCTGAGCCACAACAAAAGAGTTCACGAAGAAACGACTGGTTATTCAAAAAAAACAATAATAAACAATATACCCACTGCACATCTCAAAGCGATTCACAGAATATATTGTAAAGTGGATTGACTGGGTATTTTGTGGGCAAAAGGCGGCAGCTAATTGCGCACAACCCTCAAACACCCATGGATTGAGTGATCACATTTTATTTTTTTCTTTGGAGTAATTATTACCCCCGGAAAGTGATCCATGAATCGACTTACTTCCTATTTATTGCTTGGTAAAAAGAGGCGTGTGGAGTAAGGAAACTTGACTTAAGATTTCACCCCGCCTGGGAATTGAACCCAGGTCCTAGAAAATAAATCTTATTTTGTGCTGTGTGCAATTGGCTGCCCACAAAATCTGCTTTACAATATATTCCGTGAAATACTTCGAGATGTCTCAACAACTACAATAATTTGCATTTATATAGCGCCCTTCACGCGGGGTTAACCTCCAGGACTACTTAAATACGACTTGATGAGTCGCTATATCAAATGGAAAGATTATTATTGGGCTTGACTGGTGCTACCATTGCTGACACTCGCTGTCTAGGCTCGTGAATGCAGAATGTTCTCTTGGATGAGGTACCGGAGGCAACAAGCACCAGTAAAACCATTGCATCAGTCAGCAGCTTTGGTTGGGGAGGGGAGATCGGAGAGAAGAATAATAAAAACTTTAATAATATATTACAGTTTTTTTTTTTACTTTGAGCCGCTGTGACAATGCAAGAGCAAATTCATTTGTATGTAATAAATATTTGATGTTGAAATTTCCCTGCACTTTGTCCAGTAAGTCCCTAGAGTTAAAAGAAAGCTTTCAAAGGTGTATCTGAACTCAGGGTTGGTTAAAATCATCGATTTGAACAATGAGGGAGAAATAGCTAAAATTTGGTGCAGCGATGCAGCGTGACCGGTCCATCACGTAATTCTGTCTTTCGGATGAGAAGTTAAGCCGAGGTCCTGTCTGCCTGTACAGGGGGACGTTAAAGATCCCATGGCGCTATTCGAAAAGAGAAGGGAATTTCTTTCTCCCAGTGTCCTGGCCAACAATCCCCCAAATAAAATCAGCCAATCACTCCATGGCTGTTTGTGGCACATTGCTATGTGCAACTGGCTACCGCGTTTCACCCACAAAATACACAGTCAATCCACTTTATACTTTAGATCCTGTGAAGTGCTTTGAGATGTCTTAACTGTGTGATAAGGCACTTTAACAGGCAGTCAGGATCTCGGTTTTATTTGGAGGACGCATCTCCAACAATGCAACCCGCCCCCGCATCACACTGAAGTCTCATCTTAGATTACGTGATTCCAAGTCCCAACGTGGGGCTTGAGCCCCACAACCTTCTGACTTGGAGGCCACTGGGCCAGGCTGACACACTGATACTGTAGAAATTAATTATGATCTGCTTTTCCCTCCAAATGCCACGTAGGTGGGAGACCAGCAGATGGAGTGAGTGTTCCCGGACGTGCGGGGAGGGCTACCAGTTCAGGACGGTGCGCTGCTGGAAGATGATCGCCCCCGGTTTCGACAGCTCCGTTTACGATGAGCTGTGCGACACCACTGAGCTGACCAAGCCTGTGGAGCGCAAACTCTGCCGAAACAAGAGCTGCGGGCCGCAGTGGGAGGTGTCGGAATGGTCTGAGGTAATGCCGGTTTAAACCGCTGTTTACAGCTTATTCTCACCGGAACGGAGCAGAATATGAGCTGGGATATCAATTACATAGCAGTGCATCTGGGGAGCGTGCTTTTAAAAATGCTAATTATTAGTAATTTAATAATACATTAATAATCGAACAGCCTGTTTGCTGTCTAGGCTCGTGTGCCATTTTGTACCAAAAGGGAATCTGGTTAATTTTTGGTCGATAACATGTGGAAACACATCACCATGCTTAAGAGTATCCAATCCAAACCGAGATTTCAAACGGTGAGCAGTGCTGGAAACTGTATAATATTTACTACATTGGTGAACACGTTCTGACGTGATAAGGTATTATGGTCCCATCAGACTCACTGTCATAATGGCTATATCACAAGGTTAGTTTCTATTCCTGCTTCAAGATGTCATTTCCCCGCATGCACACACAAACACACACACACCACCATTGACAGGCGAGCTCTCAGCCACTTTTCTGAGACTTCAAACCAAGGCCCCATCTGTCCCAGATGGATATTAAAGATCCTTTGACACTGTTAGAAAATAATGTTTCTCTCTCCCAGGTTGACAATCCCCCACATATATATATATATTTTTTTTTTGAGGGGGTTGGGGGGGGTCTGCAGGGTGTTTGACACATGTGGCAATCCATTGCCATGCTTAAGAGTATTCAAACCAAACCGAGATTTCTATGCATCCCACCGACACATGGAAATCCCAGAGATAGATTTTTGGAATGGAATGCACACTCCCTCCCTGGAGGGATGCATCCTGCTTATCCAATTCCGGAGAGTTTTAGTCGCAGGTTGGCTTGGGGACCCTGGAGTGTGCGTTGGGGTAACTGCTAGAGTCTAACTGGCTAAAACTGCATAGCTTTCCATTGATATCACTGTCTGACAAGCTTTCCTGCTGCTTGTTCACCTGGGACCACCCTACCGGTTAGGGCTTTCGCTTGCAGGGTTTACAGGAGCTGAGTGGGAGGATTCCCTGTCCCCAGTGACTGATGGATAATATTTCTGTCTGAAAGCTGATAGACCTGGCAATTACTTCCTTGGCTCATCCATAATCAGATGCTCTACGGAACGTACATTTTCTTTCAGGAAACCCACCGACCCCTGAACTGATCTGTGCTGCTCGTAACACTTCGATAAATCCACGTGGGTCAAAGCATGCTCGGTTCGATCTTAATATCCCACGTGTGATATTCACAATCTTCTCTTGCTCCTCACTTGCACCCCCATCACTGTCTTGGGGTTCGATATTATTGATGGTATCGGTGTTGATAGCATGACGATGGGTTTCTGCAAGTGTGAGACGCCCGGCTGACCAAAAAAATATATATTATGCAGATTCCCTGTGTTGGACTTCGATACTAGGCAACTGCAAACCTTCCGGTTCCTCTTCCCAAGGGCCATTCTAATGATTAAGCTGAGCTGAAGAGGGTTGATTGTGAACCTCGGCTCGTGCCGACTCCACCCTCATTGCCCCCACCCGTTCCACACACACATATACACGTGTTAAACCGGTTTTCCTCTGGTACCCTCAGCGGTAATGACTGTCTCAACGCTTTAGTGTTCTGCCAGGTGTGGGAGCAGAGGAGCCATGAGACGGGAGGTCCGCTGTTCTGTGGAGCCGCGTCTGTGCGATGAGTCAACTAAGCCAAGCAACAAGAAGGAATGCCTGGGGCCCCCCTGCGACCGGCGCTGGACGGCGTCCGACTGGGGACCGGTACGTGCTCCAGCGGCTTGGTGCAGCTGAACGTCGGTCAGATTCACCCGTGTACTGCAGCCAAGTTATCTGAAGCGCAAAACTACCCTAACAAATGTCAGCCTGGCTCAGTTGGTAAACGCTCTCACCTCTTGAGTTAGAAGGTTGTGGGTTCAAGCCCATGTTTGGAAGGTGGGATCACATAGTCCAGTGTTACATTGTCGGAGGTGCCGCCCTTCGGATGAGACATTAAACCGAGATCCCGTCTGCCTGTTCAGGTGGATGTTAAAGATCCCATGGTGCTGTTCGATGTTTCACTCGTAGTCAATCCACTTTACGGTATGTTGTGTGAAGTGCTTTGAGATGTCTCGACAACATGACAAGGTGCTACATCAAATGCAAGGTTTATTATTATTAGATTTATCATTATTATAATACCTGGAGCAACTGTTAAGTCCCAGACAGGTTGGGCCCATCCTATTGCTGCATTTCACTTCTAAGCTTCTGTTTGTTTCTCCTGTTTTAAGTGCTCGGGGGCGTGTGGAGAGGGACGGATGACGCGTTACGTGGTGTGCCGGAACAACGAGGGCAAGATCTTATCGGACTCCCAATGCGACCCTGTGGCGAAGCCCCTGGCGGTGCATCCCTGTGGAGATAAAAACTGCCGCGCTCACTGGGTCTCGCAGGAGTGGGAGCAGGTGCGTCTCCAGTGTGTGAGAGACTGTCCATTCCCAATCGTGCCAGGCATCCTCCTGCTTGTGGGATGCTGGTGTGCGGAACTGGCTGCCGCGTTTCGCCCACAACATACACGATCAATCCACTTTACAATATCTTCTGTGAAGCGCTTTTGAGACGTCTCAATGGCATGATAAGGCGCTACGACGAATGAAAGGATTATTATTATATTCTAAGCAACTGTCCATCCCAGTTGCACGTGACGTGATGCATTTACTCACTCAGCCGTTGATGTGTGCTTTTATTTTGGCTACTTCGAAGAAGCTGTGGCTTTGCGATAAATAACACGGTGTCTCTCAGGCATGGCTGTTTGTGGGACACTGCTGTGTGCAAACTCCCTGCAGCGTTTCGCCCACAAAATACACGATCACTACACTTCACAGTATATTCTGTGAAACGCTTTGAGACGTCTCAAAGACGTGATAAGTTGCTTTATTATTATTTATTACTATTGTTATTGTGCATGCATTTCCTCTATAGAGCACACAACTCAAAGTTTATCAAACATTGCTTAATTTACCCCATTATGTGTTGGTTTCCACCCCCACCAATTGAACTGCTCCGTGTGTACATGTTAATAACTGTGTGACTCGCTATGATAACTGGGTGGCCTTTCTCCTGTGTCAGTGCAATGCCACCTGTGGCCGGGGTAAGAAAACTCGAAGAATCCTGTGTGCTGGCTTAGAAAACGGGGTTTATAAAGAGTACGAGGAGCCAGGGTGTGATCTCTCCAAAAAGCCAGAAGAGGAGGCAGCATGTTTCGAGAGACCCTGCTCAAAGTGGTTTACAACATCCTGGTCACAGGTAAGCACACACCAGCACTCCACATCTCACCACAAGCCAACGAGGCCCACTTGCATCTGCAGTGATGGGCTTTGTCTCATCTGAGGTGCTCTGTAGCAGTTTTGTCCCATTGTAATGCCCCGAAGGTGGCTGGAGACTGTTCTTGCTGAAGCTGGTGTATGTCAGAGTGGAACTGCCTGATAAATCCACTGAATCCGTGACTGTTTGTGGGGACGCTGCTGTGCGCAATTGGCTGCCGCGTTTTGCCCATAAAATATACAGTCAATTGACTTTACAGTATATCCTGTGAAGCGCTTTGAGACGTCTCGAAGACGTGATAAGGCACTATATCAAATGCAAGGATTATTATTATTATAAATAACTGCAGCCTTTGTCCTTCGCAGTGCAGTAAAACCTGCGGGAACGGAGTCCAGGTTCGAGAGGTCAAATGCTACCAAGGAGACGAGCTCGGGCAAGGGTGTGATCCATCCACGAAACCTGAGGCGAAACAGACATGTGAAGTCCAGCTATGTCCCACTGAGGCCCCTGGTAAGAACAATACTGCTGCCCGGATTAGCAGCAAAGAGGAATGTCCATCTTGTCACGCTCTCATACATTTGCATCACTTTCTGATGTTGCACTTGAATTTAATGTAGCCATCGACGTACCTTCATATTCAGACCACATTGTGAACAGTCTGTGCCAAAGCAATGCATAACAGAAATGTGTAGTTATATAAGTTATACAAGTATATTGTTAAACTAAACCTCACGAGACAAAATTCTTCATTTGGTGCTGGCGTGAGTTGGAATGCTAGCTTTGTTTCCTCTTAAGACCTTAGTTGAAATCTAGATGAGAGTGGGTGAGTGAAATTCCATGTTGAGAATAGAAACTGGGGGTTAGCAGATGGAATGGAGCCTCAGAGACACAAAGAGAATGCAGTGTCTCATTGGAGGCAACAAAGAATCGTAAACTCCCTTGATTACATCACAAATTGCCATTTATACAGCGCTTTTGCATCGGGAGGATGTCCCAAGGTGCTTAACAATCCCGGTTTGCCACCTGAGCTGGGGGTGTGGGCCGAAGGGGCGGGGAAGGGAAAGATAACCAGGCGCCGTCATAGAAATAGGTTTTGAGATGGACCTTGAAAGAGGTAAGGGGGGGAGGGTGACAGAGGGACTCTGGGATGGAGTTCCAGAGAGCGGGGGCTGATAGGCTGAAAGTCCGGCCACTGATGGTGGGATGGGTAGGGCAGGGGACATGAAGTAGGCCGGTGCCCTCAGAGTAAAGGGAATGGATAAAGGCTCAGTTAATGATAAATTCACTGTCACATATGAAACTGAGTCCTGCAGCCCTGGAAGGTCCCAATGCCGGAAGGTAAAGTGGTCAGGAAGTTATCTTACCAGTTTGAGACCAGCATGAATAACTTCTGAATCCGTGTTAATGTTTTGCACAGCACTGAATGATTCCCTGATCTCAGGCAAACCAGTGTGAGAGCTGAATGTATTCCAAGAGCCAGTGTAAGGCAATCTGAGATTCAGAACAGATTGTTACCTCAACAGGAAGAGGAAATTAAGATGGGACCTCATTTTGATTAACCTACAGTGTAGGCTGAATAGGAGCCAAATGGGAATCTTGACTCAACATGCAAATCAATAATGGAGCTTTGAAAATCTTGTGCATCAATTTGTAACTGGTCATTAATACAGATAGAAAACATTTTCTTTAGGTGGGTAACCATTCAGTCCTCTAAAGTTTGTTGGTCTCTCACATCCACTTTCCGTTGTTGAAACTGATATATTGGATAAAGAGGTCTATATACTTCTTCGTTCTGTCTCTGTGGCTTTATTTTCTTCCTTGAAAGGTAAGGCTATCTGTACAGAAAGCAGATGAAGGGGGTTCATACAGGGAATGTTAGGAAGGGAAGGAGCGAAGCTTAGAAGCAACCACTTGTTCTGGAGAGAAAGAGGAGTTTGGAAATAGTACGGTAGTTAGAAAAGAGAGATAGTCAAGGGAAGGTTTCTTGAGAATGGTGGTGATGGTGGCAGTTTTTAATAGGGTGAGCACGGTACCAGTGGTCAAGCAAGGGGGGGTGGGGGGAAATGACCATAATCACAGTCAAAGAGGTAGGATGCCTACGAGATAAGGAAGAGGTAGGTATTTAGGCAGGATTTTAGATGGTTAAATAGGGGGCAAGAAAGAGGACATTCTAGAATTTAGGGGCGTAGAAACTCAAGGCTGGACCAAGCCTTGGCAAGTCCTCCCGACATGAAAGGCGTTTATATAGATACAAGTTGTTGTTGAAAGGTGACTCTTCCTCTGCCCGTGCCTCGTCCTGTGTGTACTCGGGTTGTGCTTTTGCAGGTGCTCCCTCTTGTGGCCACCAAAGGAAAGAGATTGATTTAAGAGCCTATGGAACAATGAATGACCATTTGGCCATTAAAGCTGTACCTTTCACATTGCTTTTCCAATTTACCACATTGGGCTGTTGACAATTCATTAAATTTCCTGACGAGTGCCGAGACAAAGGAATATCCCTTTGACCAAACTAATCTGAGAGGCTGTCCTTTGTGAAGGGCACTATATAAATGCAAGTTGTCATTATTATAATCTAGTTAAAACGTGTCCATTGTTGCAATTGACTTTATTTGAAATAAAGGTATTTGTAGTGAAAATTGTTTTTTAAAAGAAAACACAGAAGGTCCCTATTTGTTTGTTTATAGGACACTGCCTTGCGCAATTGGCTGTCGGATTTCGACCACAAAATACGCAATCACTACACTTTACAATATATCCTGTGAAGCACTTTGAGATGTCTCAATGACATGATAAGGTGCTATATCAAATGCAAGGATTATTATTATCTTGAGGACTTCATCAATGTTCACCAAAATTCTTATTTTCTTCAACTCCTTCTTAACCAGTTATTTATTTTCTTTATAAAAGGCATTATTCAACAACAACAAAGTTACATTTGTATAACACTTTTCACGTCGGGAGGACGTCCCAAGACACTGGACAGAGAGAATTACAAATTATTCAAATAATTTTGGGACATTTCTTCCAAGTATCTTTTACTCTATTGGGAAAAAGTTTCCTGTAAAATCAAGTCTGTCTTGAGGCTTGTTAATTTAACTCTCGGGTCCTGCTCTCCATTCTCAATCCAAATTAGATAACCTGATTTCATTTCATTATCTAAGACATTTTAAAGAGCTCTTTGTAATCTTTTCTCTGCTAAAAATTTTTTTTAGTTCAGAGAATTCCTCATAATAATTTATAGCTGCAATTCCTGAATAATTTAATTCTTGAATTCAAACGTGGGATCAAGTAACCTGAATCGTAGAATTCTAGCACAGGAGGCCATTCGGGCCATCGAACCTGTGCCGGCACTTTGAAAGAGCTATCCAACTAGTCCCACTCTTTCCCCATAGCTAATGCAATTTTTTTTCTTTGCAAGCATCTATCCATCACTTTCTGTCAGTCTCTGACCTCTGGACCCCACTCTTCTGCTCACCCCCCTTGAGAAGCCAAACTTGAAAGTGCTGCATGTTCCCTGCCCCCTCCGCACCACCATTGCTGATCGAGCCTTGGCTCACTACACCCGTAACCTCTGGAATATCCGCCTCCTCGCCCCCTCTGTCTTAAATTCTGCCTAAAAATCCACCTCTTCCTTTCCTCAGAGGCAACCTACCTCTCTGACGGTGTTTAGGGTCACTTTCCCCTCCTCTCCCCTTTCTCCATTGCTCTGCGTCCAACCCTCTCTTTGTAAAAACGCTCCGTTATCCAATGCCGGGATCTCCGACCGGTTGGTCGCCACTCAGTGAACGGCCTCGCGCACGACCAAAAAGACGAGAGGAAGGAGCGATAGAACTGTGTAGTCACAAAACCCAAAGTATTTCATGCATCTCAAAATAAAAATGTAAACCGTATTGTTTAAACTGGTAAATATCGCTTTAGTGTTTGGCACTAAACACTTGTGTTGTTCTCTCTGCAGATGACAATTGCCAGGATAAGGTGACGGCTAATTGTGCACTGGTGCTGAAGGTGAAGCTGTGCACGCACTGGTACTACAGGAAGGCTTGCTGCAGATCCTGCAGAAACAGAGCGTAGTAACCCCATCACCTCTTCATACTGCAGCAACAGAAAATACTCGGTCCTTTTATTTTGGTGCGGGGTGGTGGTGGGGGAGGAGGAGGCTTGTTACGTTCAGTCATGTTCAGTATGAACCTGCTTACAACTAAAAGAAAATGCATCCCTGCCCTCAACATGTATTCGATCCTATGGGAGACTGGAATGCACTCTGCTCACTCCAGTCTCCCACACCTTTTTAGTGCGGTGCGCGGAGGACGCACTTGGGACTTAATTCACCGGAAATGCTGTGATCTAGGTATTCCTTAATGATATTCCTTTAGAATAGAGTTAAGAATTCCCGTCAACCTGTGAGAATTTTGCTTGGAAGTAGAGTTCCATCAATGAAGCGACATACTTCAGCTGACTTGTGTATTCAAATTCTTTATAATGGGATCCCGTTAAGTAATGCCATAAATTAGTGCTGCCGGGACTCTCCTGGACTGATTCAAGTCCTCCACCCGGTGAGGGGGGCCTTTGTTTTTGAGGGTATCATTTTGCCCCTTTATCTCCCCCTCTTGAATTTTGTGCCCGCCTCTTAACTCTCTGTGATGCTGACCTGCCTGCTGTCAAGCGGCATGTGATGGTATTCTGAAGACTCGTCACCCATTTCCACTCCCCCTCACTATCAATCTGTCCCCTGCCCCTGTGGGAAGCACCTCGACTTGATGGAGCAATTAAGGTGGAGGAAGTGGTGATGGAGCTCTGCCCTCCAGTGATATTCTGTGCTAAGGACACAATGGAGATGAGTTCCATAAGCATGTTTCACACTTAGGCGAACACATACACAGTTGCACAAACCCTTCTTGTATGACTTTGCCTTCTTGGACGAGGTATTTTAAACAACAACAAGAACAACCCCCTTAACACTGAGCAAAGGCTCATGTTTTTCAAGAGGACACGGTCTGCATTGATGTTCCAAATGAAAGCCAAAATAAATGTGATTGTTTTGGGGGATGTATTTTCTGATTGTACTTTGCAGCTTTAACATCTGGCAACTAGACTGTAATACGAGTGCTCTCAAACATTACTTGTACAGTGACCTGTTAGAATTATTTTACAACAGATTATCTGTGTACTGTAGCTATATTATTAGAAACCTTTTGTACAGCAATAAATAAGAATGTGACTTTTCCCACAGACTTTCTTTCTTGATTGCGGAATGCTCTTATCTAACGCTGCAGTTTCCTTTCAGAATGTTCCTCCGAGGAATCTCCATGTCTCGAGCACAGGACTTTATGGAAAGGCCATTGAGGATATCTGGTTGCTTAGAGGATATTTTCCAATTTGGCCAAATCGAGAAGAGCCTCTGAGGGGCATCATGTCAGGACTTCTGATCATAAAGTAGTTGAGCAAAATAGTTTCAGAGAGATGCATAGAATTCTTCAAAATTAAGAGGTTTAAAAGAACAAATAGCAAGTGATTTGTCCTGTTGGTTAATAACAACAATATAATACTAATAATGGAGTCCTGTAGCTTAATGGTTAGAGCATTCGCCTTGCAAGCGAGACATCTGGGTTCAATTCCAGGCAGGGTGAAACCTTGGGCAAGTTTCCTTACTCCACACGCCTAATAGTAATTTTATAATAATAATTATAACCCTAACCTTACGTCTTCGAAACATCAAAGCGCTTCACAGAATATACCTTAAAGTGAATTGACTCTATATTTTGTAGGCGAAATGGGGCAGCCAATTGCGCAAGGAAATGTCCTGAAAACAGTCGTAAATTGAGTGACCAAATTATTATTTATTTTAGTTTTTTTTTAAAGAAAGGATTATGGAAAGCAATCCACCAACAACCGGGTTCCTACTTTATGCAAGGTAAACGGAGGCGCGCGGAGTAAGGAAACTTTCCTAAGGTTTCGCCCTGTCCGGGGAGTGAACCCAGGTCCTCTTGCTTGCAAGGCGAGTGCTCTAACCAATACACTACAGGATTGCATCCCAGGATAAAGCGCTTCACAGGAATATACTATCGTAAAGTGCAGAGCCTATGTTTATGGGCGAACGTGGCAGCCAATTTTGCACACAGGAATAGCCCACAAACAGACGTGAAGTCAATGACCAATTTAATCTGGGGGATTGTTGCCCAGGACACTGGAAGAATCTTCTTTCTCTTTTTGAATAGTGCCATAGGATCTTTTAACGTTTACCTGAACAGGGGCCTGGTTTAAGATCTTCTCCGAGGAATGGCACCTCCAAAAATGCAGTGCACAGGCAACTGTCATCTTAGACTATACAAGTCCAAAGTCCCAACACAAGCTTCTGATTCAGAGGAACCTTGGCTCTTGCCAACCTGCGCCAAATACTTTCCGTAATTTGGTAAGCAGGATGCGTCCCTCCAGTGAGAGAGTGCGCATTCCATTCCAACAATCTCTCTCTGGGATTTCCATGTGTAGGTGGGGTGCGTGGCATTCTCAGTTTGGTTTGGATACTCTTAAGCACGGTGATGGGTTTCCATAGGTGTCAGACAGCTGGCTGACCAAAACAAAGGATGAGAGTGCTACTCACTAAGCGGTGCTTACACATAATACCTCATTATCTCCATCAATCTTTAAGCATTAAGGGTGGGAGACCCTATGTGTTGGGTGGTCCTTAGTATGTGTGGATGGGTGTCATGGGGGAGGTTCCCTTGTGTTACAGATTGGAGGAGCAGAAAATGGCTGTTGCGCCTCATACTTTTTTTTCTGTGTAACCATTTAATTTGCTTGTTCTTGGCTTCCTTTATTCTTGAGTTCAATATGGGAAGGATCAATTAAGTTAAACTACACAGCACACCTGAAGGCACTTATGAAGTGACCAACTATAATCGACTTTATTAGGGTGTGGCCTCAATCTGTATTGAATTAACTGATTCCTGTTGAGGAAACCCGAGGGAGTATTACAGAGAGAGAGATGAAAAGCGTGGTTGCATCTGAGTTGAATCATTCATTCTGCTGAGCATTTCTAAGGTAAACTCAGGACATTCTTTTACTCTAGCGTTCATGTTATCTCAAGCAAAATTGGATGGATAATGCAGGATTATAACCATTTCCTTTATTGAGAAATTTAGGTGAAGGGTGGAGATCCACAGTGCAGGAAACTAATGTGTAAAAGAGAAGCAGAGAAGATTAGATAAATCATAAATCATCAAAAGTGTGTGCTGTTTCTTCTGAACCATGTTCTCTGACATCTCAAGGTTGCTAGTGCGAGGCTGATCAAGACTGTTAGCATTAGAACACAGTTACTGGGACCACAGGGATATAATGTGAATGCCTTATCACTGCTGTGCTCTCCAGCTTGGGCCTTTTTATTATTTAACAGTTGCATTGCAAAGAACATCAACGTATGAGAAATTGTACCAAGGTAGGAATTTAAAAGCCTGTAGATTTTAAAGGAGGAAGCAGGAGGAATTTTAATCTGGAGGTACCAATTTGGGAGTCATTGTAGAGGAGGAGTGCATTGGACCTTGATCTCAACATTGTGAAGATGTAGGGTAATAATAATAATCCTTGCATCTGATATAGTGGCTTATGTCTGAGACTTCTCAAAACACTTCACAGAATAGACTGTGAAATAAATTGACTGTAGCAGTCAATTGCACAGCAGTATCCCACAAACAGTCATGGATTGAGTGATCATTATTATTTTTAAGGGATTATTACTCCCCAGAAAAGCGATCTGCCAATCGACTAACAACCAGGTTCCTACTTATTGCTAGGTAAACAGAGGCGTGTGGAGTAAAAACACTTGCCTAACGTTTCTCCCCACCTGGGAATTGATCCCAGGTCCTCTCACTTGCTACTCTACAGGACTCCACAGGATGCAGGCCGAGAGTAGAGGGTTTAATATTTGATGCTTAGAAAGAAAAATATAGGAAATGTCAGAGACGGTAGGAGTAATAAATCTAGAAAGATGCAAAAGATTAAGGGAAGAGAGACCTTGGAGGATGAACAAAAAAAGATTAGCCATTAAGATAACATTGGTCCACAACAAACAATAAACCAATGCTTTTACATATTTTATTATAGATAAGGCAGGCAATGACATAACCCAGTACTTATTAGCTTAACATAATATATGGAGGTACTGATACATATCACATTGGTAGGCAACTAGGCGCAGCCTTAAGTAATAATAATGCCACAAAATGGGATAGATCTTCAGTAAAAATTGGTTAATTGTGCAGTACAATGCTGACAGTATAACTCCCTTTGGAAGTACAAATTAAATAAGTGTTGGCAGAGCTCTGTTTTGAGCTCCGAGTGGGGAGTGGTACAAATGTGAGACAATGCCACTGGAGTGTCAGACAGGTCACTATTTAAATGTCTCACCAAAAAAATGTCCTGGCTTGTGAGAATTTTTCCATTACTTACCGCAAGACTCTCAGCTGTATACTGTTACAAGCGGATAATCATTGCATTTGTTGTAGCGCCTTAACACGTCGTTGAGACGTCTCTAAGCGCTTCACAGAATATACTGTAAAGTGAGTTGACTGTATACTTTGTGGGCGAAACCCGGCAGCCAGTTGTGCACAGCAGTGTCCCACAAACCCACATGGATTGAATGACCAAATTATTACGCGTTTAATTTTGTTTCATTTAACCTGGAGGCAGTTTAATTGCTTTAAATGAAATTCATTTGCTTTATATGAAATGTTAATTTTGAAACTAGGCACCTACCAGGAAAAAAATCAATCTAATGAACTTACAGTAACTGCTTGCATCTAATACCTCAATGTGCTGCTTTCTCCCTTTTTCTCGATCTCTTCCCTTGTGTTATTGTGGTAACCTCACCCTGACTGAGTCAGTGCTCACTTTCTCAGTCACTTAGGCACAACAACACTGCCTCCATTTGAGTTGGGGCTGACCGCTCCCAGCATTTCACGGTTCATTCAGCCAAAATCTCTTAAATTTGGGAAAATATGTATTTGTTTCTTTTTTTTAAAAAAAGACCCTCTTCCTATATTTTTTGTTCCTCTCCTGAAAACATTGAGTCAGGTTTGGACAAGGTTCGAAAGATCAGGCTGGCTTCTGCAGCCTCATTGCTGGTCAATTTTTTTCAAAACCCTTACCTGCTATTACTGTTTGTAGTAAAGAGAGGGAGAATATAAAAATAAATCAAAGAAAAATATATTCTATTAGAATTCCACTTAAATCTCACTGCAACAAAAGGGAGCAGGGAACTGCAAAATCTTTGAAGATATTTTGAAATCGTAATAGTCCTTGCATTTGATATAGCGCCTTATTGCATTGTTGAGGTGCCTTAAAGCTCTTCACAGAATGAACTGTAAAGTGAATTGACTTTTTTTTGTGGGCAAAACACGGCAGCCAATTGTGCCCAGCAGTATCCCACAAACAGTCGTGGATTGAATGACCAAATTTTAAAATTTATTGGAGGGATTATTATCCCCGGAAACTGATGAGGGTTCCTACTTACTGTTAGGTAAACATAGGCGTGTGGAGTAAGGAAATTTGTTTTTGAGTAAGGAAGGTTTCGCCTCATCCAGGAATTGAACCAGGGTCCTCTTGTTTGCAAGACAAATGCTCTAACCACTACGCTATGGGACTCCATGTTTTGTCACTGAATCCTACTGTGGATATTTTCGGGTGAGGAGAGAGATGGAAGGCAGACACCACAGCATTTCAACCATCTATCTCATGCTTCATGTTTTCTGCATTAATGAAATCTAGTGAATTATAGAGACAAATTAAAAGATGTTCAGTTGTTACAAACTTCAGATTCTCCACGAATTGGGCTACTGTTCCACTTGTTATAAGATTATAAGTGTACAGGTTGCAATATAGCAAATTCAAAGCAGTGTCCAAGCAGTTATGCGCACTGAGGTTTGGGTGGGTAAAGGGATATGATATCTGTATAATGGACATAACCAATTTTGCTAAACTGCTGATACTGTGCCTTCGAGTTGATAGATATTCAGTAGTTCCAGAGAGCAGAGCTCGCTCCTTATTTTGCCCTTACCAGACTTTCCAACATCATTACAACAAAACATTATGGTGCAACATTATTGAGTTAGTGACTGGAATTGAAAAATGTTGTATGATTGATAATTGATTGAGCCACAGGAAGGGAAATGGCTTGTAATGTGATGTTAGTTTAGTACTGAGAAATGCAATATAGTGGCTTCAGCGTCTTAAGAAAAGGTCAGACTGGAGTTGGAAAGTGTGGGCTTTTTCTCCTGAGGCATGTTCTCTAACATCTCAAGGCTGATCAAGCCTGTTAGCATTAAAGCATAACACTGGGACCACAGGGATGTAAAGTGAATGCCTTATCACTGCATTACCTTCCAGGTTGTGCCTTTTATATTATTTAACAGTTGCATTGCAAAGCATGTTGAAAGGTGAATCAGTACACAGTGCTACGGGGCTAATGATATTTTCATGTTCGATGTTTAAAATTGAAGAACCTAGGTGAAAGTTAAAATTCAAAGATTAATATTGAAGGACAGTAATGCAGTTCAAAAGGGTAACAAAGAAGAAATCAATCAAGTAATGGTTAGGTGACCTAAAGAAGGGAAATAAATAGGAGGCTCTATTTAGAACTGAGGAAGAACGAGGGGAAATTTCAGATTAATACTGACTGTAAAAATGGTCTACAAAGTAATAATAATCCTTGTATTCGATATAGTGCCTTCTATGTCATTAAGATGTCTCAAAGTGCTTTAGAGAATATATATTGTAAAGTGGATTGACCGTATTTTGTGGGACATCAACGTGAAATGGGACCTTCTGAGCTCTGTGAGTAAGTGAGAGACAGCACTTTTTCTTCACAGGAAATAGAATGGATTTGTTACCCAATGAGATATTCTAATTGTTCTGCAGCAATACTGTCCAGGACCTTCAGACCGGGTGTTGATACATTCAGCAGATCTCGAGCAGGCTTGACTCGCAGCTTGCTGTCAATATATCAGCGGTGCTGACTGCCAGGAAGAGTGGGAGCATAAATAGCATTTACAAACCAATGAACAATGCTGTAATATATGGAATGTCACAAGCAGAAAGTTTAGCGATCGCAGATTATGTGTCTGTTGTCTTGGTAACCTGAGAGCAAGCTCTGCAATGGACAAACTCATTGTCGATTGCAGAGCCATTTCCTTTAGAGCACAGTCTATTCCCAGGTAAAGAGAGAGACTTTTTTTCTTGCTTTGGCCCTACTGTCCTCCTCATTTGTAAGGGGGGGGGCAAAAAGTCCTCTTACTCCCTGTTGCAAAGCAGCCATATGAGACGATGGAGGAGCTGAAACAAGCTGTCAGAGATGCATTTCTCCTCCTCACTCCGTCTAGCTTATGGAAAGGATGGCACTCACTCACATCGATCCTCTGGACGTCTAAGTACAGTTAAACACATGTACTGAATATAATTAAGTACTTCTAAATACAATTATCATCATTCTTCTGCATGTTCTTGTTGTTGGTCAATGCACTGTAGAGAAAAAACACATGCAGTAACAGGACTTTGTGGTTACCCTGTAGTTCTTTTATATCTGGATGAGAGCTACGATACCTGGGCTGACAACAGACAAAGGGCTTGTACTTGTAAGGGTCAAACAATCAGAGTGAGCAAAGGTAAACTGGCTCAGGAATGTGCAACTGGGAAAAATAGAAAGAGGTGGTTAAAGGGAGAGGTACCCCTGGCAGGGTCAACTTCTCAATGACAAAGGTGCCGTATTTACAGTAGCACTGAGGAGTCAGGGAGCACAAAGTCTAATTATTAACTGGTGTTTGGCACAAGAAGACTGGACAAGGCAAATAGAGGAAAATAACGTCACCCTCAACAAGTTAGTCAAGAGAAACTGAGCCTTTCCTCTGAAATTCAAATCAACAGCTCTTGAGACATCTTTCTTCAAGGACCTGACGTAGTGACGAGATGGACCAGGTTAAATTACCAGAGTGGCTGTGGAATCTGTTGATGTGAATGTCCAACAATTAATTACATCAATCTGTGCACAACAAAGGCAAGCAGCCAGACAACCAAATGTTAGTGCTAGCCAATTCCCTTCTGTGACTGACGCTGAGAGATATGTGAGAGAGTGCCTGATGCAAGGGGATGTAATGGATATATGTGAATTACTCTAAACAAAGGCAGTTGGTGTTTTCCTTCAAATAAACTGGAATCGTATCTGCTTGGGAGTAATATTGGTGGTTTGAGGCTTAGGTTGAAACTGAGGTGAGCTGCTTTAAAGCATAGTGACATTTACTATTAGTGGAAAACACGGGAGTTGATCTACACCAGCAACGTCCCACACACAGCAATGTATATCTGAATTTAACCTGTTGAATTAAGATTAGGAAAGAATATTGTCCGGGGCACTGTGAGAACTCCCCGTTCTTCCTTGAAAGAAGAAAGAACTTTCATGTTAGAGTGCTTTTTTCACAATAAAATCTCAAAGAGCTTCACAGGTAAATACTTTCAAATGTAGTGACACTTCTTTTGAAGACAAAACCTGTCAGACACTTGTGCCAATAAGGTCCCGCAAACAGCCAGTTTTCTGGAGGATTGTTGGGCAGGACACTGGGAGAAATTCTTTTCCAGCATCCTGAGATCTTTAATGGCTACTTGAACAGGCAGTTGGGACCTCAATTTAACATTTCATTAGAAGGATGGCACCTCTGCCAGTTCAATGCTCCCTTAAGTGTTTGACTGGATTTGGAGCTTGTCTCAACATGGAGCTTGAACCCACAACCCTCAGACCTGGAAGCAAGTGAGTTAAGTAATCAGACCAGTGCCATGTGATTCACCTAAACCACTAGAACACGTACACAGGATCTCGGTTTAATATTCCCTCCAAAGGATTGAAAATTTTAGATGAGAATAATAATAATCCTTGCATTTGATATAACGCCTTATCACATCGTTGAGACGTCTCAAAGCGCTTCACAGAATATATTGTAAAGTGAATTGACTGTATATTTTTATTAATGATCTGTGAAGGGAGCAGGTGAAACTGGTTATTCCAATGTTCCCAACCAACAATTGGGGAACACTCTTCATGTGAGTCTCTGCTGTGAATAGATATTCAAATCACAAAGGCTTCAGGATTAAGCTTCCATAATCCATATCATTGTATTCTCTGCATGTTCACAAAGATGCCTGAAAAGTTAAATATGAAATTCCCAAGGTCCTCGGTGACATGATACTGTATTTTTTCTTATTCTCATTTCTATTAAAAACTGAATATTCCTATCAAAGCACTAGCACATGCTCACAGCTTCATACACTATGTGTGTGTGTGTTTGGAGAGGGAGGGGAGTTGGTTGTAATTAGTATTTGTTTAACATAGTTTGATTTAACATAGTAAAATGTCTTGTTAATCCCCCATGCTTTTAAAAACTGCCCTGGACTTCAGGAAATAATTCTTCCATTTTGGAGAAATAGTGAGGTGAATAGGGGTAGAATTTAAGCATGTTCCAGTCAGGATAATGAGTAACTTGGATCATGGTTTATATATTGTGTGTGTACTTGTGTGTGCATGGGTGCAGGTCGTGATGTCTCTTGCAGCCTATGTATTCTACAAAACCAATCATCGCCAACATTCGAGTTCTGTAGCTGTTTTTAAACAGTTCATTTTACTCAAAGGTTGCAGAGAGAGTCAGGTAAAGCCAAGCGGGTAGCTGGTTAGGCTGAGTGTATGGAGAATTCCTGAGAATTCCTGGTAATTTAGGATACCAGGGCCATTTGGATTGCACTCCCCTGTCGACTTTGAATGGAGAGGGAAAATTTCCATTTCCTTAGAAAATACCCTCCCTTCCCATGACTGTTAAAATGAAGACTTAACACTGTTAGGACCTCAATATTAATGGACATAGGGCCAAAGTTGGACATGACTCTTAAATATCACACTTTACCCACATCATTCATGTTTGTGTGATGCATGAGCCCGGTGATTTTACACATCCATCTTTCACAATCTACCCAATGGAGAGATGGTGGAGCCAGAGTGTAGCCTACCTTTCTGGGTTCAGGGGGAAATTAATAATATTAATAATCCTTGCATTTGATATAGCATCATATCACATAATTGAGACGTCTCAAGCTTCACGGAATATACTGTAAAGTGAATTGACTGCATTTTGCGGGCGAAACGCAGCAGCCAATTGCGCACAGCGGTGTCCCGCAAGCAATCATGGATTGAGAGACCAAATTATTAATTTAGATTTTTTTAAAAAACAAAATCGAGAGATTATAACTGCTGTCAAGTTATCCAAATTGGGTTTGGTTCACTGGTCGGGCATAGTTAGCACATGACATGCAGTGACTGACTACAATTTAATGAGTTAACACTGATTGACGGTGAGAGGAACAAGCCCAAAAGTCCCACACAACACTGCACTGAACTCCACGATACACTAGGATGCAATGCAACACTCCAGTTGGTACTGACTTGATGTAGCAACCACTTTGTGTTTCTGTGTGTGTGTGTGTGTGTGTCTGTGTTTTTAAAAAATGCTTAAATTCTAGCCCTGTTTGCTAACTATTTTCCTGTTTGAAAACGAACAGCGTGACATTGTTCCAAAACACAATCTGCCTTTGTCGTTGTGTTAAGAGCCCTGTACAAAGGTCATAAAATACATCAACTTTCTGAAATAGTAAAATGCTTCCCATCTTGTTATTTCTTTTGTATTGTTCTAGGACTGTAACTCCAGCTGTGTCTGGAATAGAAAGACACCCCAACCCATTGCTTCAGTCACTTCCCAACACACACACATACCAGTCTGGCTGTCATTCATACTTCAGTACTTATAGCCCTAACGTTCGCAAAGGTGTCCTGGGCAAAGCTTTGCTGGTTCATTGGGAAACTTTGAAGCGTAGACATTTTGATGCCCATCCCTGGCTGTTTGTACCGGGTCGGCGTGTAGGTGACGCGCTCGCCTCCATTGCGCATGTCGTCAGTAGTCCGTATGTAAAAAGGCGAGTGCCGGGGCGAGCAGCCGGGGCAGTGCTTTCTCGTGGCTGTCTGGCTCGGCTCCAGCGGAGAAGTGAACTCGTTGGCTGACCCGTCCACAACATGCACCCCGCACGCATTACATGGGAAGTGCGGATAATTGGGAAAATCAGAGTCTTCCTCCTCATCGTCCGATTCATCTTTCTTGCAGCAATAATACTGAAAAAGAGATGGCCGTGGGTAAGTGGGGGTTGGGGGAATAGGACAGCCTCAATCAGGTTAGCAGATAACACATGAGGTTAGCAGATAACACATCTTAATAGTTCTATCACGTTGGCACCATGGAAGGCATAATAATAATAATAATCCATACATTTGGGATATTGCCATTCATGTCGGGAGGATGTCCCAAGGCACTGTACAATATATGTAAAGTGTAGTGACTGTGTGATTTGTGGGGGAACGTGGCAGCCAATTACACACAGCAGTGTTCAACAAACAACCATGAAGTGACTGACTGATTTATTTGGCGGATTGTTGGCCAGGACACCGGGAGAGAGAGAGGAATTCCCTTCTCTTTTCGAATAGTTCTACGGGATCTTTAACGTCCACCTGAACAGGCAGACAGGCCTCGCTTTAAAATCTCATCCACAGTAAAGAACAGGCAATGTAGAAAGGGTGGAATTTATGGGTTGCATGTGCAGGCACAGGGAAGTAGTCAAATGTAGAAATTTCAGGGAATATGGATGTTCGAGGTTGCCTATATTTCTCTATCTCACCTATGCTGGTGCTCACTGGGTCAGGCTTCTTCCCACTTTGTTCCTCTTAATCCTGCCAAAGCTCTAACAGGTAGAATGGTCCTAGCTGAGCTTGCAAGGCAGTGTTCTCAATAGCAAACTAAGCAGTTTTATCTGGTTAGACTCCAGCAGTATCCCATCGCACCCTCTGGGATCCCCAAGCCTTGCTTCTCACCAACCTGCAGTTGATACTCTCTGGAATTTAATAAGCAAGAGAGAGACGGTGTGAATTCCATTCCAGTCACAGGGAAATGTGTGGGTGGCATTGCATATGTGGATATCTTCCTCCAGTTTGGATGCTCTTAAGCTTTGTGAAGGGTTTCTGATGGGTGTCTGACCAAAAAAAAAACTCACTAAGAGTACTGACCGTATAGAGGGAATTTGCCGCCGAATGTGCCTGGCTTAAATTGAGCTTAATGGTCCATTGACAGATCTGGGTGGACCTTATCAAATCCTACCGCTCCGCCTTCACCCCCGCTAAATCGTCATTCTACTCCAAGACAATCTTGGAGGCCAAGGACAACCCAGGCTCCTCTTCTCCATCACCAACCGACTCCTCCACCCACCCCATTCTCACCTCAAAGGCCAACTGCAAGGCGACACTGGACTTCCTCGAATCCAAAGTTGAGGGGATCCGCTCAGCTGCCTCTGCCCTTCTGTCTACCACACCCTCTCTATCTCCCCCTCCCACCCCGGCCCCTCCCCATCCCTCCCTCCACACCTTCGAACCTGTCGCACACTCCCACTCAGCACCACTTTTACCCGCACAAAACCAACCACCTGCTCCCTCGACTCCATCCCTACCCCTCTCCTTACCTCCCAGCTCCACCTCCTTGCCCCTCTACTCACAGACATCATAAACCTCTCCCTATCCACTGGTACTGTTCCAACCCCATTAAAAATGCCCATCATCACTCCTATCTTTTAAAAAAAACTCTCCCTGCCCCCTTCTCTGCTCTCAAACTACCGCCCCATCTCCAACCTCCCTTTCCTCTGCAAGGTCCTGGAACAAGTTGTTTTTCCCAGCTTCGCTCCTTTCTCTTCTGCAATTCCCTTCACGAACCCCTCCAATCAGGTTTTTGTGTTGCCCGCAGCACAGAAACAGCCCTGGTCAAAGTGACATCTGCGACCAGGGCTCCCTCTGCCTCCTCGTCCTCCTTGACCTCTCTGCTGCCTTCGACACCATCGACCACTCTATCCTCATCCACCGCCTTTCCTCTCACCTCAACCTTCACGGCTCTGTCCTTGATTGGTTCAAATTGTACCTTTCATACTGCCTCCACTTCACCTCCACAAACGGTTTCTCCTCTAGCCCCTGCACCATCTTGTGTGGTGTTCCTCAGGGCTCTGTCCTTGGTCCCCTCTTTAACATCTATATGCTCCCTCTTGGTGACATAATTCGCAGACATGGGGCCAACTTCCACATATATGCGAATGACAGCCAACTGTACCTTTCTGCCTCCACCCTTGACTCCAGGACCACTGCTGTCCTGACAAAATGTCTGTCAAACATCAAGTCCTAGATGAGAGCTAATTTTCTTCAGTTGAACATCAACAAGACCGAGGCTCTCCTGATTGGCTCTCGTCAGCACCTCCACACCTCAGGCGCTGACAGCATCACCATCCACGGTTGCACACTCCACCTCACTAAGCCAGTCCGGAACATTGATCCTCAACTATCTTCTCTTTGACCGAGCCTTCAGCTCCCCTCTCGACTCTCTTCCCCCTTCTCGCTCCCTCCCATCCCTCCCCTCACCCTGACCATTTCCCCCCTCCTCGCTCCCTCCCCTCACCCTGACCATTTCTCCCCTGCTCGGGTCATGACCCAACTGTGCAGCGCCTTGGGACGTCCTCCTGACGTGAAAGGCGCTTTATAAATGGAATATTGTTGTTGTTGTTGTTGTTTCTACCCCACATCCGTGCCATGACCCGCTCTGCCTTCCCCCACCTCTCCATCATCGTCCGGCCCCGCCACTCTCTCACACCGCAAGCCGCCGAAACCCTCATACATGTCCAGGCTTGACTATGCAAACTCCCTGCTTGTCAACTCCCCAACTCCTCCCTCCATAGGCTGCAGATCATCCAGAACTCTGCAGCCCTTGTCCTCTCCCGCACCAGGCTCCGTGACCCTATCACCCCCATCCTCACCCGACCTCACTGGCTTCCCATCACACAGAGGTTATAGTTCAAGATCCTGATCCTCACCTTCAAAGCCCTCCCTGGTCTTGCTCCCCCCTACTTCCGCGACCTCCTAACCCCCTACCATCCTGCCCGCTCCCTCCGCTAATTGGCGGGCGGGCCTTCTGCCCCTCTGGAACTCCATGCCGCAGTCCATCTACCTCACCCCCTCCCTTGCCTTCTCCAAGACCCATCTCAATACCCTCCTCTTTGACCGTGCTTTCGATCACCCTGATTCCTCCCCCCTGCCCTCCACCCTCCCTGATCCCGAACCCCAGCTTGGGTCCGAAACACTGACCGTCTCTTGCCATGGGACGTCCTCCCGACATGAAAGGCGCTTTTCATATGTAATTTTGTTCTTGTTGTTTGTTCTATATCGAACGTGTGGATGGAGGCCATCAGACTTAGAAAGCTCCAGGCCTCACTCCTTGTCACTCTTGGGACATAAATATATTTTACCTCAAACCAAATATCTCTCTCCAAGTCCAGCTACATCTTGTTGCTACAATACCAAGGATGCCTCCCAGCGCCAGGGAACAAAAATGTGTTTTTCGTCCAGAGCTCTGAGTATATGAATCATTGGTTGCCATCAACGACACGATGCATAGAGTAACACTGGCGTTACAGAAATAATGACAAGGCATTGAGGTCAGAGCTGAATTTTATTATTAATATTTATTATTTATTTCCTTTTCTTTACGGCATGGCTCCGGCTAATATAAAATGTTCCCTGTATGTGAGGTGACAATAATTGTAGAGTCCTGTAGCTCAGTGGTTGGAGCACTCGCCTTGCAAGCGAGACACCTGGGTTCAATTCCAGGCACGGCGAAACCTTGGGCAAGTTTCGTTACTTCACAGGCCTGATAATAATCCCTCCAAAACAATAATAAATTGGTTATTTTCAATCCACGACTGTTTGTGGGACCCTGCTGTGCTCAATTGGCCGCGGTTCGCCCACAAATATACAGTCAATTCACTTTACAGCATATTCTGTGAAGCTCTTTGAGATATCGAGAAGACGTGAAAAGCGCTATATCAAATGCAAGGATTTTTATTATTATTATATAATGGTGAGAATGCTGGCATGTTATGCCATGCTCTGACAGAATTTGAAATGTGTGACCAGCCTGCCCGAACTCCTTCCCTCCTGGAGCGCTGACCTACTGATATTACCCATGATGGGCGAAAGACGAAAGTCGTGGGAGGTGGAATTCAAGACTCTGTTCTCCTGCCCTTGCCTGGTGCTCAAAAGCAATTAGTGTTATTCAGCAATGTCCCTGTGAGAGAATGTCTTGAAGCGTTTCATTACAAATTAGAATATTTGAAAAGAAGTGAATGTATTTAGATCAAGTAATTGAGTCCTCTATGCAACAATAAGATGAGTAGTCAATGAACTAGAATTTCATGAGGTTAATTTGCATGCGGGAGGGACACTGGGAAGAATTTTCCTATTCCTTGAAATACAACACAAATTTACATTTGTATAGCACCTTTCACGTCGAGAGGACATCCCACGGATTGGCTGGGGCCGGGAGCCGAAGGTAGCGAGGAAGGGAAAGATGATCGAAAGTGCGGTCAAAGATAATAAAATACAATTAGTGGCACAGAATCTTTAAATGTCAACCTGAAGGTGGAAGGGAGTTCGATTTAATGGAAAGAGCCCTGTGGAGCAAAGTCCAGTTCTACTGAATTCCAAAGTGAAGGCAGAGGGATCATTAGAGAGATCATTAAAAGGTGAAAAGCCTTAAAACTGAATCCAAGACAGCTAGAACTGATGTCAAAAAGCATCTTGTCACACACACAGTTGTGAACATGCGGGATGCTCATCTCCAAAAAGCTGTAGAGATGGAATCATTAGGGATAATACTATTAATAATAATCCTTCCATTTGATATAGTGATATAGCGCCTTATCACTTCTTTTAGACGTCTCAAAGCGTTTCACGGAATATATTGTAAAGTGGATTGACTATGTAATTTGTGGGCGAAATGCGGCAGTCAATTGAGCACAGCAGTGTCCCACAAATATTCGTTGATTGAGTGACCAACTTTTTTCTTGAGGGATTATTGCCCCCGGAAAGCGATCTGCCAATTGACTAACAACCGGGTTCCTACTTACTGCTAGGTAAACAGAGGCGTGTGGAGTAAGGAAACTTACCTAAGGTTTTGCCTCACTCTTGACCAAATATTGTTGTTTGTTTTAAAGAGTATAGTGACACGGTTGACATTAGGATTAAAAGATCCAACAAACTGATGGAACAGGCTCAGTTGGCTGAATTCTCTTACGTTGCTATGATTCTCCCAAGTTACAGAAGACATTATCACAGATAGACCACTATCTCAATGAGGCGGAGCTGAATGCAAACTTGTCAAAATTAGGAAAAGGTTACATTATTAAAAATAGCAAAAGCTTTTCCTACATGTCACTGAGGGAACAAAGAGCCATGACCAATCCATCTGGAGAACTGTTGGTCTTTCAGAGACATCATATTCCTGAATAATCTGTGCTATCAATGACTAAATTATTCATGTCTGTGCAGAACATTGAGGGAAATCTCATAATGTAACTAATTTAAACACTCACTGCAGATCCTGTGAGTTTAGTGAGCTGACAGATTCATTCAGAAAAGACAAAATGAACTGTGGAATGTCAGATGCTTCCTTGAGAGAGACTGTTTAGAAAGCAAGTCCTGTTTTTAGACTAAGTGGGAAAGATACACAAGACAGCAGAAACTATAAAAATTCAGATGCAATGAGGTGAAAACAGAACTGCTCACTCAGTGGTCAAAGGGATTAAGAATTCATCAGATGGGAAATAAGAAATACAATCAGTCAGACAAAGAGGCGGTAATGAGACAATTGAGTGGGCTGTATGGAAAACAGCAGAGACAAAAAGATTGCCTGGCTTTTACGAAAATAAGCAAAAGATATGACAAAAATCCATTGGAAGATAGAAATCTCCAAACAGCAAAATCAATTACATGCCCCTGTCAGCCTGGCTCATTGGTAAGCACTCTTCCCTCTGGTTCAGAAGGTTGTGGGTTCAAGCCCCACATCGGGACTTGGAATCACATAGTCTAAGTTGGCACTCCAATGCAGGGCTGGGGGTGTGCTCCATCGTTGGAGGTACTGCGTTGAACACGCAGCCCAGATCTCGGTTTATCATCGCATCCAATGCAGTTCTCCCCCCAGCACTGTACTGAAGTATAAGCCAAGACTGACTGCATTACCTCGGAACAAATTTACAAAAGATTATTGCATTGAGTAAAACTTGTAACGAGTCGGAGGCAAAACGATTAAATTATCTGAAGTAGGTGGACCAGGAAGAGGAAGCTGTGTTAATGTGATACAGAAGAAAACCAACTACAAATTGTCACTCGGAGGCTGTTTTTTTTTAAAAAAAATGTTTTTAAATTGGTCACTCAATTCAGGACTTCTTTTTTGACACTGCTGAGCACAATTGGTTGCTGCCTTTTGCTGACATAATGCCCGTTACAGTATATTCTGTAGACATCTTGAAAATGTGATAAGGCATTATATCCAATACCAAATTAATATTAGTAACCAAGGGTGAATTTAGCGTTTGAATTTAATTGCTGAATAAAACTGCAGAATACTGTATTATGAATTTGCTTTACCCCAGGACTTAAACAGTGCCGTCAAATGAATACTTCATATTTCTAGTTCCAGAGGAAATGATGGTAATTTGCTCATGTAACATAATGTTAGTAAGTTTGATGTATCATCTAGCAGCTGAAACTCCATGAAGCAAATTCCAAGCTGTGCATGTTTAATGGTACAAATTATTTCCTTTGGCATTGATTCTGCCATGGAACTGGATCATATCAGCCATCCTCACCAAACCACTATGTCAACACAAAGCCTACTTTGATAGCATATTCAACAATAGATTGTATAATAGCGAGGGGGGGCTCATCCACAGGGGATTAGCACTGAATAGTTTGAAAGGTGCTTGACTTTACTAGAAGTGCTAAATTGAAAGTTAACGAGAAAATTGTAATTGAAGCTACTCAACGAATATACATCACTTCAACAACTAAAAGATTCCATTTGCATAGCACCTTTCACATCGGGAGGATGTCCCAAGGCACTGGTGAAGGTAATGAATCTCAGCTCTATCTCCATATTACAGGAAAGTCATATGGAGACTCTTAAGCATGATTAACATATGGGTAAATTCATACCAAACCTTACGGCAGACGTGTTAATGTCTCGGGTGGCTGGTGAAGCACTACTGGAATCACAAACCCGAACAACAACTTCAATGGCATCTGATATCGTTCCTCACACAGGCTAGCGCCCAGATTGCTTGACAGTAGCGGAGCACAACACCGAGCTGGGGGGAAAAGCCAAGGTGACCATAGGCACGATCGAAGAGGAAGGTTTTCAGGAGTGACGTGAAGATGGGGAAGGAGGGAGCAAGGAGGAGCGTTAGAGGAAGAGTGTTCCAGAGGTTTGGGGCATAGTGGCTGAAGGCTCGGCCACCTATGGTGGAACAGAGGGCACGAGGGACAAGCAAGAGGCTGGAACCAGTCGAGCAGAGACAGCAGGTAGGGGAGTGAGCAGGTCAGACAGGGAGATAGCAGAACATGAAGGAATTGAAGGGAAGAAACATGGGAAAAAGTTAAAAAGCTGATTCTCAGGTTTGCTGCTCCTGGGAAGCTATTTGAAATATCAGCTGATGAATTACAACAGATTACACTCGTATAGCGCCCTTCAGGTTGGAAAGACATTCCAGGGTGCTGGACAATCAGAGCTTTTGGACTCGAGCTGGGAGTTGGGGGCAGAAGGGGGGGGAGGGGTGTGATGGGCGTGGGAGAGTGGCTGAAGGCACAGTCAAACAGGAAGGTCTTCAGACCGGACTTGAGGGAGGCAAGAGAGAGGGTGAGGCAGAGGGTTTGTGGTATAGACTTCCAGAGTGTGGGGGCCAAGATGCTGAATGTCCGACTGCCAATGGTACAGCAGAAAATGCGGGGGACCTGAAGCAGGCCGGTGTCCGCCTAGTAGAGGGAGCAGACAGGGTGATATGGGGTTATGAGGTCGGAGAGGTAATGGGAGCAAGACCGTGGAGGGTTTTGAAGATGCCCAGGATTATGTTAAGATAGGGAACGTAGCTGTTGCCAAGTATGATGATGGATGGCAAGTGTTCTCTGTACATCACCGACTGACTGAGTGAGACTAATGACTCACAGATGGGAGAACAAACTGAGCATTAATGTTACTGATGAGACAGCCAATTAGTTTGTTAATGGCTACACAATGAGTGTTGAAATGGACCACAACCCACTCATCAACTGCACAACCTTTGCAATGTTTTTCCTTTGCAGTGTTTTTCCTTTGCAAATTCAAAGGACAAGCACCAGAGATGTGACCTGAGAGTATCACCTACTGCACGTCAGATTGATAGATTTCTGCGCGTCGCCATGAGCAACGGTGAACAATTATGCAAAAGCCATCAAGGACAGTCAAGACTATACTCTTGTGGTTGTTGCTGTAATGCCATCATTTCAGATCTGGAAGCCTCAGAGAGAGATGATGACAGGATGGCCACAAGTAACAGCAGATTGTTTTTGACCCTTGATTTAAGTTTTCAACAACAGAAAGAATACAGTGCTCAAAAACCGTACAACTTCAGCAAGACTTGTCTAGATGAATAGCAAATAGACTTTGAAACTGGGGTTCTGTTCTGAGCTATTTGAAGCATTAGGGTATCTTAGCCTGACCTGCATTACCTGCCCTGTTCACTCACCATTTTACCCGTGTGAAACCTGACCCATTTGGACCTATGCAACTTACGCAACGTACCTGGAGTCTACAGTAACAGAGCACAGTTATGATAGACAGCAGTATCACTGTTGCTAGTATTCCACCGGTGATAACAACGGTTCCAGCTGTCATCCGACCAATTCTCCATCAAACCCTGGAAGAAATAAGAAGAGAAATGGATGAGATCAAATTTTCCTCCAGTAAGCACTTGAGCTTTACTTTGTGCTGATGTGTTTTATTGTTTGATTTTTGCTTAATGTAATGAAATGCCATTCTCCCCTCTTCAGATCTCTCTCCTCTCTTGTAGGTGCTGACTGTATTGGGCTATCATTCCATGATAGCTGGAATCCAGTCCCTCATCCAAGTAACTGTTCTTCATATGTGAACTCAGACATGACTGTCGGCAGAGAGGGAGTGAGAGAGAACTAGCATTCTTGTAGCAACTTACCACATCAAAATGCCTCGGAGCCTCTTTCAAAGAAGATTGTCTTTAACTCTGTTATTGTTAAGCGCTCCGAAATGCTACCCTGCGTAGATGCAAGTTATTGTTGCTGCTGCTGCTGTTTCCCCCTTTGTTTTGTGGGTGAATCTTTCTAACTGAATGATAGTCACAGCAAATACAGCCAAACTTTCTATGTCACGGACTGTTCAGGCCAGTCTGACCTCTTCCAATTTTTAATGTTTCTTGATGTTAAATACAGTATTTAGCTTTAATCATTTGTTCTTGCTTTGAATCTTTATTAGAGCAGATGCCTTTCTATTACAATTTGTCTTAATCAATGCTGTTATTATAATGAGTTTGGCTTTAGATTTTCTCTCATATGAAGCGAATCTACCAACAAACTGACAGTGGCTCTCAGCCAGGGCCCAAGGTGTGCAGAATGGTAATGCCATTCTGGTGGAATGGAAGCACTTCCCTCATGTTGAGATGAAGGTAATATTGGTGGACTTGTTTATTTGGTGGGCAAGTGGTACGTCTGGTGAAGAGGGATGTAAGAAATGGATTGAGATCCAGTGCTCCGGTGGAAGTGTTTTTGATGGGGTGTGGTCAGAGTGTGACCAGGAAAGTCTGTGAGGCTAATAAACCATCAGAGGAAGTGCTGAGAATTTCTACTTTTGAACGTTGGCGAATGAGGAATTTTCTGAAGGGCTATGTTGTTTGAACAAAGCCTTCCTACTTCAGGGGCGAAGCTTGCTCATTTGACTGCAGCGGAGAGCTTGCCCACTTGTGAAATGTTTATTTGAATGTCATTTGACAATCGGCATCACAACTTGTTGATTTGTTTCAAGTCAGTGCCTCCGTCATACAACATTCTCAGTCTGTTTTTGGACGGAGGAAAGCATTTTCTGACGGCCTTTACTTGACGACTGTGATATAGATCACACAGAATTGCTGCCTTTGAATTTTTGGGATTTGTCTCTGTACACAAAGATTAGAAAAGGTACATTACCAAAGGATTGCGATGTGAGAATATAATAAATCTCATTTGAGGGATATTATTTATCAATGAATTAAGATTTTTGTCTCTTACCGTAAGACCAAACCAAGATAACAATTGCCTTGTTACTTTGTTCATAATTGGATTTACAGACACTATAAGGCAGGGAGAGAGATGATACAATTCAAGATATTGAAGTTCTTTGAGTCGTATAACGTTGGTGAGCTATGAATGGATATCCAGAAAAGGACAAAGTGAAGAAGATTTGTGACGAATGACGCTTAATTCTGTGCTAATAAATTCTAGCTTTCTATTTACGCAGCAGATTGATTTCTCTGCCACAAATAGGTTCATATCATCAGGATCCACATGATAAAAGAAAATGTGAAAAGGATAAGAGAACATCAGAAGTGGCTGAACCTTCCAAGGATTGTCAGTCACACCCAACAGGGAGAACGGGCAACATGTAGACAAGTCCACTCTAGACACTCAATGGGAAAATAAACACCTGAGACAGAAGTACAAAAAATAAATTAATTTTATTTTAAGAGCATGATATAAATGTTACAAGCAAATTTTTTATTTGTGATATGAAACCAACATAGTTACAGCATAGTCTCAATGTAGTTACAATTTTATGTAGTATATTTAGGCCATATACTACGGTGCTCATTGTTGTTCCATCAAAATATGATATTATCTCCCTATAAAATGGTGTCACTTTGTTCTATTCCCAGATTTACAAAGTGCTGATGAAGCACTGCAAATGTCCTCCATATTGCTGTCCTCTCTGGATCAGGGACTACCTCAACCACAGGAGAGTAGGTTAATCAGATCAGAACCCTGTAGAGGACTGAGGCAATTCTGACTGGCGACCTTATAGTGTTTTATGGAGATGAGTTGATGGGTTTGTACCAGTCTGATGAGATCTTGTACAAAGCCAGCCTGCTCTGCCGACTGTGCCCATCCCAGTTAGTGTCTCCACATTAAAACGACTCAAAACTCTTCACAGGTAATTTCTATCAAGTCTAGTCACATTAATACTGCATTTGATATAGTGCCTCACCATGCCGTTGAGACGACTCAAAGCGCTTTACAGAATATACTGTAAATTGGATTGACTGTGTATTTTGTGGGCGAAGCATGGCTGCCAATTACACACAGCAGTGTCTCACAGACAGTCTTTAAAATTTATAATTCTTTGTAGCCAAATGTTGCAGCCAATTTGTACACAGCCAAGGTTTCAGCAAATAGTCATGAGGTTAACAACCACACTTAATACTAACAACTTGTATTTATAGAGCACGTAAACATAAGATGTCTCAAACGCTTTACAAAATACAGTATAATTGATTAGGAATTAAGTGAATGTTGCTTTATAGGCTAACAAGACAGTTAATCTTCCAAACAGAATCCCATAAACAACAATAAAAGGAATAACCAAATCTGGAGAATAGTTGGCCAGGATACTATGAGAAACTCTTCTCTGTCAAATAACACCGAGAGGTCTTTAACGTCCATATGAACAGGCAGATGGGACCTCATTTTATTTTCATCAAAGAATAGTGCTTCCCACCAATGCAGTCCTACCTCAGTACTGCCAGCATAGACTATGAAGACTATCAAGTTCCAGCATGAGATCAATTTCCACAAGGTTCTGACCCAGAGATGAGAGTGTTACACATTAAGGCAAGCTGACTCTATGTTGAGCAGCAAGGGTACCCATCTCCTATGGTCATGAGGTTTGGTGATGGGTGTGTCAAATGCCCAGCATTCATCTCGTGTGTTGCATGACATGAATTCAACACTCGAGTTGCTGTGTTGCAGGATATCATTCAGCTCATAGTGCACCAAATATTGCCTTCTGGTGGATTTGGCAACAGATGAAGTGTCCTCCCACTGCTTGGTCGCACAGTGTAGACTTGTTTCCTGGAAATGGCACATGTGTTGGCTTTACCAGAAGATTCATTGGTCTCTTTGAGTCTCATCACCATCCTCTTCTGAGATGAGTTTTAACTCAGGATTAAGTGAAGAGGACTTGTCTGTGGAGACCTGAAAAGCGTTTTGACTTAGAGTGTATTGAAAATGCAGAAAGACTGTTGCACATACTGGGAAGGCACACAGAAGGCAGTCTGGTCGAAAACAGCAGAGGAAGATGAACACAGAAATTCCCCACGATGCCATGACTGATTGAATGATTGCAAAACGATTGAATATTTTTAGGAACAGTTGCTTTCAGAGTATTTAATAATTGCTTAAAAGCATTACAGTACACTTACCAGACGGCTCAGACTTGGAAGTGCTGTTATCGCTCGTTGAATAGATTGAAAAGGTTTGCAGCAATCCTTATTTTTATTCAGTGAGTAATTAACAAAGCAGCAAACTAGAGCAGGTTGCCAGGAAAGCCAGAAAACTGGACTCAATTGAAAAGCTTGCTGCTGTGATGGGGAAGATGGCAGGGTGGCTGTTCTAGAAGGATGAGTTTGGTAGGCCAAAAGGCCTTCTTCATCCAAATCGGTGTTGTGATGAGCACACCATATTTAATTTTCTCAGAGATTCCTGCTTTGTTTCGGAGTGAGGCAACTGATTATTACTCTCGTTTTTACTTCAACGCTCTTTGAAACCAGTGATACATTGATGGTAATAAGTGGAATATCTGCACATTACGTGGTATAATAGTACAGACCTTCTTGTGCCTATATCTGGTGTGCGTTGTGCTTCTATTGCGAGGAGAGCAACATGGTGTGTCTATTGCTTTATTCAGTAGTATAAGAGCAATAGGATCTTCTCTCCGTTCTCCATTTAGTCATCCTTTACCAATGTTCCATTCAGTAACACAGATCCCACAAATTGTGTTATTAGACACTGGTGTACATAATGTGGACATTCTGGAGATGTTCACTGATATTGCAGTTTGGTTACGCTCTAGTATAGGTTGTCTTCTCCAATACAAAGATGACCGATTTCAGGTGGATCATTGTGCATTTGATAAGGCGCTATTTCAAATGCAAGGATTATTATGTTCTCATTTGACGCCTGAGCCCTATGCTCAGTAGATTTTTTTCCCACATGAGGTTTTCTGCCAAGTGGGTGGTTAACTTTGCTTTCATAGAATCGTTAAAGTTATAGCGTTGAAGGAAACCATTCCTTCAATGTGGAGACACTGTATCCACACTAGTCCCAGCTCCCCCAATTGCAGCTATCTACTACGATCCCAATTGTCTGCATTTTTCCAATATGATATTCTTTTGCTTCAAGCATACAAGTGATCAGAAACGGGAGCTGATTTTTTTTCATTTGAAGGCACTGAGGTTAACTTTTGTATCATCTTAGGGTTTTTGCTGCCCTTGTTTCTGCCCCAGCTCACGGATGCTTAAAACCTTTCTGTAATGGATTTCTGCACCCAAGTTGGCAGACACTTGCAAGAATACAGACCACTGACTTTGGAGAGCTATGAAGTGCCTTTGAATTGTTCTCTTTTTCCTGCCGAGGCAAGAGTGCTACCAGATGAGCCAGGCTGGTGCCTAAGTAGAAGATTTTCACTTGTTTGCTGGCAACATTTGCAGAGTTATCCTGAGGTTCCTGGGATTTGCAGTATTTATGGAATCAGCAGTATTTTGCTTGCTTGTGGAGCCCACAGTGTAATGGTTAGTGAGCTTGCCTTGCAAAAGAGAGGACCCGGGTTCGATTGCTGGGCGGGCCAAAACCTTAGGCA